TTTACTTGCTGTTAACAGTGCTCTACAATTTCATCTAGTTATTCGGCATTAACAAACAAACTTCAGACACCAAACGAAGGGGCTCACAAACTTTAATTAGTTATATGAAATTTGAGAAAAATCCAATTACAACGTTCATAATACTGTTTGCAGTTCACTGTTTACATACAATAATGAAATAACTGATAACCACTATTTAGCGATTACTCGTCAACATGCATTAACACTTTTTTTATGATTTAGTCAGTGATTTCGGATTCTGCTAACAGAAATTTATATTTTAACCCTATACGAGACACCGTAAAGTAGTATTATCTACGACATGTTTTAGTTACCATGCTCATAACAAACACGCGTCGCCTTACTTAAGAAGAGTATTTGGCTAACTTAAGTGGCACTTGCAGTAATGTTCTACACAATTCCTGTATAAATTCAGAAAGCGGGCAGAAAAATATATCAACGCCAATTGTTCTGTTTCAGTTTGGAAGACAAGAAAAATGAAGGCACACCAGATGCAAATTTGTCATTAAGCAATCTGAAAACTGTAATCAAGTCGTCTCTGATTCTTCCATATGACAGCGTGAATAGGTTTAGCTCTGTCAGTCTAATACCATACTGGAGCTTCGCTATTCCGGAAATCAGCTTAGTTGCTGTTCTCTGAACCCTTTCCAAGAGTTCACTGTCTTTTTCAGGTACGGGCTAGCTGTTTGTTTGCAGTACTCAAGTTTAGGACATACGAACATTGTATACAAAGTCAGAAACGTTTTAGCGTCGAGATGACTAAAAGCCCTGCGTATGGACCATAAAGTTCTAAAATCTTTAGCGGCTATTGCACCGCAGTGTGCAGTAGTCTTTAAGTCTTGACTAACGACGACTCTTAAGTCATTATGTGCCTGGACAATAGGTAACTCAGTGTTATTCATCGTGTATGTATCTGCGCCCTGCAGGGCCCACCATGGTGGCCAATATGCATCACAATACACTTGGAAGTATTTATCGGCAATTGCCAAGTTTAAGACCATTCAGATAATCTCTCCAGGTCATTTTGGAGTTCTAAGCTATCGCCCTTGCTTTGAATCACTTTCCATATCTTGACATCGTCAGCATAGAGTAAGACCGATGACGATAGTAGACGAGGGAGGTCATTTACTTACAGGAGGAATAACACTGGCCCCAAAACTGTATCCTGGGGGACTCAACCAAGCAGTTTCCCAGCTAGATAACTTGGAGTTAACCCTTACTCTTTGTTGGCACCCAACTAGGAAGTCTTTTATCCACATCAAGAGATTGCCTCCAATCCCGATATTTCTTAGCTTATATAACAGCCGGTTGTGCGGAACTTTGTCGAAAGCTTTGCTGAAATCGATGTAAGCTACGTCTATAGGTAACTTTTGGTATTTAAGAGCGCACCAGCTTTCACGAGCGACTAATAAGTTTGTGTGAGAAGAGTAACCTGTTCTGAAACTATGCTGCTTCTCCGAGAGGAACCGGTTTTCATCGAGATACTTAAACAGCTCCTTCCGAATAATCTTTTCTAAGATTTTAACAACCACACTAGTTAGGCTAATTGGTCGGTAATTCTCAAGCTTATGTTTTGTACCTGTTTTGAAGACTTACATAATTTTTCTTCCTCACATTACGTATGTTATGACTCGTAGGTTGAATGCTTTATTCGGATCCTAGCTATTCGGATAACCCCAGGCTGGCACTACTCAGCGACTTGAAAGACCAGAGAGAAGACACGAGTATCAGAGAAGCACTTTACTACAAGGTTCATTTATGTACAGAAAAAACAGGGGTTTTATAGTAATTAAAAAGACCTTGAGATTCCATAGTAGCAATATGTTTAACAGCCAATCAGGACCTCATTGTTTTAGTAGCATAGCTTCTAACTAATCGCTGATTGGTTGGGCTCTTTATGAGCCTCTCTGGAGGTTCTGATAGAGTTTATTGTAAGCCGACCTAACAACGTAATAATATATCAGTCCAGATGACAGCAGTGATACTTATCATGGATAGAACTGTTTACGACTGTATATTAATAGTTTATATCTTAATGTAGCACGTCATAAATTGACGTTCAATTGGACGCATGAGCGATCTGAAACAACAACACTACAGTCAGGACCGGTAAGCGCCGTTGAAGTCAGAACACAGTGTACTGGCACAAAAAATATATTTTTAAAACTGAAAGACACGGTTCGAGTACAAAAGGGGAAACTTACTACAAAATAGTTTTATTCATTGTTCTGCTCGTTCAGATCGCGTACGGCTTCTTCATCGTTTTCTAGTGCGTTTACTCTTTGTTGCCCTGCAATAGAAAAACAAACTCGCATTAGAAACGTCGCATGGAATGATTATTATAACCATTACAAGATTCATGAATAGTTTGACTCTCAATTGCTTCAATTACAATTTATAAACAACTACCAACACCCATGTTCATCCCTACCATAATAGGGGAGGCCAGTCATATGTAAATTATTTTACAGCTTGTTTTTGCTTGAAACTATAGTTTCGGTCCAATTTTTGACTCGACAAATGATGAATTTCACTTACCTGAGTTTGCATTGTTACAAATTACTAAATAAGACTGACTAAACATTCATTCAGGTTGTCAGCTCCGAATACGTCAGACAATCAATAGACTGCAATAAACGCCATGTAACACGCATAGACATTACAAAAATTAACATGTGACGGAAAAATGCTGTGATTAGCCGATAAAAAACGACATTAAAAACCCGCGGCAACATGTAACGTATGAGCGAGAATAAATTACATGACTTTTCGACCATGCCTAAATTCAGTTATACGCAAGATTCAACAACGGCTGTATAATATTCGCAATATTTAAACAAGCCCTGTAGAATTTAAAAGACCATTGAGTCGAATTCAAACAAAAAAGTGGAATGAAGGGTAAATATGCAGGCATTTTAATAACCTTGTTTATGAGAACAGTCTGAAAATAAACGGCTATATTATTTTACTAAATAAATATGAAAACAATTAATGCAAGAAGATTTGACGACAGAATGAGGGGTTGTGTAGCAATAATTAAAAATGATGCTTTAAAAGCAAAGACAATCAAACATAAGTTTGTATGGGTCATATACATGTAGTGAGTGTAAAATGAATCCTAAATTAGTTTAGTTAGGCGTAACACGGAACAATGTTTTTAGTTGTAAACTTTAAATGTTCAAGAATGAAATTTATGCAGAAGGAGAAGAGATAAGGAGAAAATTAAAAGTCGATAAGGTATCTAATATGTCAGAAGTTTATTTATGGTAATAATAAGCATTATAACAATGTGAACATGAACACAGACTGCAGATATTATGATGAGTAGAAAGAAAACAAAATAAAGTAATTGAGGTTCTACTTTTCCTTTCAGTCAATGAAATAGAAGATGATCCTTGTTTGCATAATCCATTTTCAAGCGCATTGATATTCAGTAAGTGACACAAACCACTTTCAGAAAGAAAATCATCAAGAAGAGTTGTTAACCAGGTCAGAGTTACAATGCAATGGAGGTTCACTGATAGTCTGTTCCACATGATTTGATAGCGAATAGGGGAAAAAATTCTGGCGTAGGTTTGTTTGGGTTCTCGGAATCGCTTGAATATTTTTCTTATTGAGCACATTGTGGGATGATATTATAGAGGTGGTCACTGAAGAGTAAGAAGTACTGTGAATAAGTTGGTCGATAAAAACAAGGTTGGCCGACCTAGAGAGATTCTAATTTGAGTTATTGACACCTTTGGGGATCATACTTTGTGTCAGAATACCCCGAAATAGCTTTAGTGAACCCTCTTGGAACACCTTCAATTTTAACCCGATCATCATGCTTGCAATTACTGTAAACTAAAATATCATATTCAAGAATGGGTAAAATATTTTTTTAGATAAAAATAATCTCGATTCCATGTTATTGAATCCAATGGGATTTCTAGATTTGAATACTTGAGATGTGATGTGCTCGGTAAAGTTCAAACTGTGGCTATATCTCAAACCCAAGTCATGAACAGTGTTCAGAGGTTTTAGTGTGTGTTTGTGTATATCCGGATTTAGGTTAAGGCAGCTGTCTATGTGGATAAATCCACTTTTGTCTACATTCAGTGGCAGGTTCCACGAAAGAGTTCATTCGTACAACTTCTTTATTTCATCCCTGGATTACCGCTGAAACATAGCTTTCTCTGATGGAAGAAGAGAATAAATAACCCACTTTGAGGTCATCGGCAAAAAAGAAGGTTTTATAGTAATGAAAGAAAGAACATACGGCATTGATAAAAAGGAGAAAGAGTGACGAGCCAATCGCACTTCCTTGTGTAAACACACTGGTTGCATTTATAGAATTATAGTTCAATTTAGTATTACTACTGTCATAATCATAGACCTTATCTCGAAAATGTTGATTTATCATGAAACGACTACTTAAAATATGGGATCGTAAGTGGAAGTCCTATCGTGACGATCACAAATATGACGTCTGGAAATTCTATAGAACACTCATGTCTCTGGTAATGGTGTGAACCTTTGTAAATACTGGGATAAATTCGGATTTTAAACTAGGAAAGATATAAGCCCTTGTTCAAAGGTAAAATAAAGCGGCAAAACGTGTTTATTTACTTTAAATTGGACTACTTTTTCACGAGTACGGCTGAAATACTATAATCTAAGTCAGTAATTACTAAGAAGTGACCATACCATCCTCACCAAATGCTTGCAGGGATCCTGAATCTAACCTTAACACTACGATTCATGCGCAAACAAATCAAATCGCCTACATCAATTCTCCACGAAAGTATACATTATGAATTCCACATGTTATTTCACTTAGCTATAAGTCATTCAAAAAGTGTGCTTTTGATTTTGCTGACGTCCTGCCTGTTACTTCAAAAAAAGTCATACAACTCAGACAAAGTAATGGTAATTAAGTAATGGCGATTAGGCTTGTTTAAGTGTATCGGTGGTTAGTTGCAAGTAATTTATGTTTAAGCGGGCATTATACATCAAGTACATGTAATTCATTCGAAATCTAAATCTTCAGATTATTTTGGCTTCTCACATGTGTCTTTGTTTTTCTTTAGCGCTTGATTTTCTTCTTGGCACAAGTGCGTTTCATGTTCTGTCTGAGTTTTTGGCCCTTTTTTACTGTTCTTTCTTTTCCAGATTTCTTCACACGCTTCCCGAGCACATAAAATATCCTCAGACTTGATGCAAACCGTTTAAAACTAATATTGTCGACCAAATTACTTGCAGAGTCGTTTAATGTAATCATAAATTTCAGTCATCAGATGTTTTCTTTGATTAAACTCATGAGAGTAGTAACAATTTCTGTTTTTCCTATTGGTTTTCACAAAATTGGTTTTTGCAGACTTCCATTGAAGGCCACAATATGGTTCGTAGACAGAAAATGAGACCTATAATATTGTCCGTTGGTTTTTACACAAAGTTCATCTATCCATATATATGCACACGGTTCTTGTTTCATAGAAGATATAAATCCAGTATTAGTGTGAAATAGCTTTTAGATAACAATGAATAATTAACTCCAACTCAAAGTGTATCTGTGATGGGTCTAATCATCATTATGCACTAGATAGGCTATAATTCACTTCCACCATTCACTGGTATATGAGCAATGCTAGATCATCCTGTTTATTTATTCAGATATTTATGAAGCTCTAACTTTTGTTCTCATTCCTTATTACTCCGTATATAATGATGCTATCGGTAAGTAACAAGACTGATTATAACACGAAATGAAAGAAATTACTTACTCACGGAGGAGAATAACACTGATACTAAAATTCTCCTACAAAGTAGAAATCTAATCACTGTCTTCTTACTAGACAAACCTAATTAGGCCTACACTGTTTGTGTGTGTCAAACCTTAAAGTTTTCATTTATATAAGACCATTTGATGCCGAAATCCCTCCATATGAACATCAGCCTGCTGTGTAAGACCGTAATAGGCCTTATCAAAAGCTACATCCTTTAGCAGCTTAAAATTTACCGGGTCTTTGTTTGAGTTTTTAAATAATTTCTGAAAAATAACCCTTGAACGCTAAACAATCAAAAACTGTTCTCCAGAGGTACTACACATTTTGAAGTCGATCTAAGTTTTTTTTTCTGTTAAATATTTCTTGAATTTTCAAATGATAGAAAGCTTGAAATATGTCTTAACCAGATACGACTTTTTCTAGATAAGTAGTGGTTATTCATGATGTTAAACTGAAAATTATGTACGTTGTTTAGGCGCTCCTATGTTCAATTTATTTTAAACGAAGTAAAATTTAATACTTGGGCGAGAAAACTTACAAATGCATTAAAAAATTTAAGCAAAAGGCAGGTCATTTTATAGTACTATGGGTATTTAGCTTCTGGATTTCCTGTGTCATTCATCACCTGTTTTGAATATATATTAAACCGTGTGCGTATGAAAAGTGAAGGAGGAGAAACTAAGACAGTATTTAATGTTAACTGGTTAGATACCTGGCTACTGTTCTAGACTATCATGGGAAGTACGAACCATATGATCCATTATTTTTGGCAGCAAAGAACAATATTAGTCAAAATATTCTGTATTCGCGGAACCGTTTTATTTGTTACCAATCTAATTTGTTTTACGTTTTTACGGGCTTTATACGCCAAAGCTGTCAGATATAAAAGCCTCTGTGTTTGGTTATCGATGTACTTATACATATACATATAAATGATTACTGAGAACGGCATGAACCTTCGTAACATCTCACTTCACCTTCAGTTTTTAGTTACAGATGAAGTAATTACTTAATCTTACGGTATGCTTCTCGATGAGGATACAATAGATGAGCTTCATATTTTGTTTCGTTAGGTCGAAAAGACCATAAATTTGCATTAAAATTGCAATCCTCAAATAAATCCTGGAAAAATGTTTGAGGATTACAGTTTATTTCCTGACAATATTGTTTCTACAAAGTGTCTTAGAGTACATGATAAACTCCAGTAAGTGGTTATAAGGGTGAGCTCTTTAAATGTTAAATATGTTTTAAGATTTCTAAGTTACTTTTCATCTCTGTTTTAGTCTGCTGAACAAAACCACTTGAAGCAACATAAAAATCTTTCATTTCTACCTTTTGTGGTACGGCCACTTTCGAAGAACAAGTAGCAGTAAACATACACTGAAAGTCTAATGTCCGAATCCCAGGTTATGTTTGTTAAATAACTTTGTCTTTCTACTGACGCTTTATGCTTTTTTGTTTGTTTCTTAACACCTCATTTTTATACGGAAAGTTTCTGGGAAAATATACCAAAAACTGACTGTTTGTTTCTTGTGTAACTATGAGCATTAGTGCATGATTTTGCGGTGATTTATCGCTCCATCCAAAGAGATAATATTTTGCTTTCAAACAAATACTTTAAATGCGGTAAAACCATTTTCTACTTCGTTTATCGCAGCTAGTTAGTAAGTAATATTAGTAAATTTTAGTGCGAAATAGTTGATATCTGTAGTTCTTATGTTGAGAAAACACACAAAAATTTTAATGACGATGTTTTTAAAATAATGTAGCCAAAATTATGAAAATAAAAATTTAATCCCTTGCTATCCTTGGAAATTGTGATAATTACAAATATATCAGAACTGACTGCTGTTCTAGCTAATTACTTTTCATCAATCTAGATAAGCCAGTCTGAGTTAATCAATATGTGACCGAAAATAGCTGCTGACTATTAAATCTGTTAAACCTCTCAAATCATTAACAAGACAAATTTTTCGACACTTCGAACATTAGCTATTATTATTATTATTTATAATACTTCCTTCACTTTAATTAGACTTTTGAAATCGTAAGACAAACCTCTAGAAAAGTATTTACCAGAAAACATATGCGTGGACAATAATATATTAAAGGAACATATGAAAGTCATGAGTATCCCACAGCACACTACAATACTGTTTCATTTTATATTGTCGGTTCAATTCAAGTCTGTTTTTTGCCATCCTCTTCTTAGTTAAAAAGAGGCAGATATTGTGTGAGAATGTCAAGATTAAATTTTTCCATCGGCAGTTTCAAAGTATATCGCGTCAAATATCATTAGTTGAATGTGTTAAATAATCGGTTTTAGAGTTTTTATTCATTCACAGTGGATAAATTCCAGTAAAGGTAATTTTTGATCATTGTCCTGTACATGTTTATTGAATATTTTATTTGAATTGCAATAGAATAATTTTCAATAGATCTTCGTGACATTTAATTACAAATGGTTGTCTCTGTAATGAACGAGAACGCAATAGAGGACAACCAATGCATTTTTTATACAAAACTACAGAATCTCTTGGTAAAATATGATAACCATACATTGAATACTGCATTCGCAAATGTAAATCCTTTGTCTATCACATCCCGTATAGCTCTTTCATTTCACAATTCCTTTCTATTTGTCCTTCCATTCTTTTCTACTCGATCTTAGCCTTGTGCTGCCAGGTTTTTTACTTCCGATTAATGTTACCTACTACTTATGCCGGCAGACATAAGCAGCATACGCCATAGACTATATCACAAACATACTGTATTACCTTAAAGATGTAGTCACTAGTGATAACACGTTTATTATTTAATCTTTTCGTTATGGAGTTTATTTCGATTTCAAGATGATTTTCATCACCCATAACTTCAGCTGGCGAACCATTAAACTTTTGATGTTTTGGCAACTAATGGACTAATGGATCTCAGTTATCTCATAGGTGAGAACATTGTCATCTGTGAAAATGAACAGTCGTTTTGATCTGTCACAAAATAGCGTAATTCAGAAATTGAATCATCGAGACTCAATCCATTGACATAAAGTGAACGCATTCAACACAATAAATGAAGGTTTTCAATTCAGTCGTTGACACAGTCATGCTTGGATACTGATGAGAACTGATACAAACAACCGTTTAGGAGTCCTTGTTTTTCAACAAATTCTTAGTTTGAATTAGTCTGTGACAAAAGTCATTCCAAAATATCTCTTCACTAACTGAATTTATTCATCATATAATTAGTAACTAGACACATTCATTCATAAATAAAATAAAGTTGATCATTATTATGAAACATATCACTGTTTAGGTAGTGTTATGTAGTCACCAATTTATTTTTAACAGTTTATCACTTGGGTGCTAAAAGCCTGTTGGTAAGTGACTATGAATTCTCAATAAATTTCTCAATTGCAGGCAGAGGGACTAAACTTACTTTTACGCGACCAAGCAACTCTAAAGAATCGTGCTGAACTAAGTACGTCTCCACGCAGAGAGAAACCAAAGTGGGATTCAAAATTCAACACGAATTTACATGCATTCGCTTCATCTGATGACCAGTTTTTGCGAACAAAATTGCACCATTACTACGAATTAAATGAAGTCAAAAGTCAAAATATTCGCGCTGAAGAATCAGTTAAACAGTCTACAAATGAATGGTTAGAAAATTATGGTCTAAAAGCAAAACGATTAACACTCGATGATTTCATTGCTATGGGTAAAATTCCAGACGGTGTAATGGAAGAATTTTCAGGTAGCTTTGTACACATTATTCCTAAATATATTCTTAAAATAACAGCAAATTCAGATTTAACTTTGAACCAAATAGTGGATGAATTCAAAAAGAATTTCCCGTCACATCTCGAATATAACTCAAAACAAGTTAATCAATTTGAATGTGGGCTGCATGAATCTATCTTCACATATACAAATAGAATAAGATGGTTGATGGAGGTAACTGGTGCTTTTAGAATCTCTGTTCTTTATTTCAGAAGACTCCAGACAATCCCATGACAGTTTATATTAGTCATTTCTGTAATATCTTGAAACAAGACTGATTTGTCAATGTTGTGACTTCAGACTAAATGCTGATTACTGCCATTGGTACGACTGTTTACTGTGACAACGGAATAACTGCTTCTTGCTACTTGTTTCAACGGAACGAACGAGACTACACCGTTGACTCAAGGAAGAAAAAAGGACTGTGGACGTAGAATGATTTGTTCGCCATCCACGATAACCATAACGGTACTCATAAACTGCATATCACTTTTAATGTTTTAGTCAGTCAATAAATTTGAATACATTGAACTAGTAATTAGTTAATGATTCAATGTGTGTATAGAACTTGCGAAATCAATAAACTAAGTGACCTGACTGGGAAATAAAATCCATCACAAAACTATATAATCTTTATTACTCCTACCATTCCTGAACTTTGTAAGGTTTTAAATTAGGAAAACTAGAGTTAACCACTGAGCCTAAGATGAGCGTACCTTAAACGTACTTTTTGTCTGTGCGTACTCAATACGTAGACCAATTTAATTATCATCAAATATGATAGTCATCACTGAAAAAACATACAGTGAATCATTAACTAATTACTAATTCAATGTATTCAAATTTATTGACTGACTAAAACATTAAAAGTGATATGCAGTTTATGAGTACCGTTATGGTTATCGTGGATGGCGAACAAATCATTCTACGTCCACAGTCCTTTTTTCTTCCTTGAGTCAACGGTGTAGTCTCGTTCGTTCCGTTGAAACAAGTAGCAAGAAGCAGTTATTCCGTTGTCACAGTAAACAGTCGTACCAATGGCAGTAATCAGCATTTAGTCTGAAGTCACAACATTGAAAATTAGTCTCACTTCAAGTCATTGCAAACATACGACACCATATGCATTTATTTATAAGCCTGAATGGTTAAATCTAACCTTATTTCCAAATTATTGTACAATGCCAGTGAATGTTTGTCTCTTACTGGCCACATTTCACAAAAATAGCTATTGCTAGAGTTCTGGCTGAAATGCATACTTGCATTCTACTGAATATGTGTATGAAAATACTTCGAGTAAACTTCCTCACATTTTACATCATTCAAAGATCGTTGCCTCTTTTGTTAAATATGCTATATCTAAAGAGGAGAGATACCATACGATTTTTGTACATAAATGTTATTGTAATGGGCGGTGTCCAAAATCTGACACTGATACATGATGTGCTACGCGTCACTTACCCCAACTGACTACTTGAACGAGAACATAAGAGTGGGCTAGAAAGTATACTGGGCTAATGAATAACATGCACAAATACTCATTTATGTATATACAACTCTACCCCTTAGGAAATTACTCCATTTCTTAGCCAATGAGATGCACCTGTATTTCAGGTCATCGAATGACCTTCTCATTAGGGTACTTTTGGCTGACCATATCATGTCACTAACAGAAAATTTATTAGAAAGTTATTAAAACAACATACCATGCATATATGAAGAGTATCATGTCATCTTTTTCTTTTGTGCTTTGAGAGACGATATTTGGAAGATGACAGCAGAATATTTCAAATGTTCTGTCCACATCATTTTTTAAACATCACCTCAGTGCTTAAACTAGTCATAATGAGATAGGGTAAAATATCTCATCGAAACAATAATCTAGTCGATATGGTTTTGAAGCCGTTTTAACAGTAGCAATTTATTTTCATACTGCATATGCTTGATTCCTGTACGCCTGGATACTCTACTTAGCTTCTGGCTATGAGAAAAATAACAAAAGATAGACATCAGCATTATTCTATTAGAACCTTAATCCTGATTGAAAGGAGGCATGGTTTCCTTGGTACGGTATCTACAATGTATTATTACTGATTGTTTGAAAAATATGTGGTAAAAATCTAAAACAGTTTCATTCGGATAGATTTATGCATTCATTTACCGTCTCATTACACTGCTGAATCAAAAAATATCAAAATGAGCCTGTATACTTAAAATATTGTGTAATGACTTTATTTTGCAAGGGAAGAGACATTTACTATAAATAGCTTTAATTTCCTAAGGGACGTATGTATATGTATATATATGAATCCAAACACATATGATTCGGCTAGTGAAACAAACTTTCCTCCTTTCTGTTCTGCTTTGCTGCCAAATAGCCGGGTTTTTTATCGGAAGTTGTGAATCAACATCGATGCTCGGACATCGCATCATCTCTTTAGGTTCTTGTTTGGTTCCGCGTATTGTTTCTTCCACTTCAAAACTTCATTTAGTAGAATCAATTCACATCCTAATCCAATAAAAAATACATTCAAATTTTTTAAACAAAAGTTTATTACATACGTTCTATTCGGGTTTCAAACTTGCGTTACTCAGTATCACAGTCAAAAACATAACCATTGGACTTTTCGTGTTGCTCTTCGAGTCAATTTATGGAAAACCCATATGTCAGTTATCTGTTTATTAACTGTTTATTTTGTAATATGTAGGATACAAAGAAAATATTTGGTTTAATTCGTGGAGAAAATATTGGTCTTCTGTTGGATAGTTCAGATGCAAACTTGGGTTTCAACAGGGATAAGCAATTTAAAGAACATTTAATCGAATTAGTCAACGAACAAATAACTGCAGACAGGCTGAAGACACTATATGTAGCAAGTTATGGAACAAATATTAATTCATTATGGCCATATCCAATGTGTGCGAATACACGTGCCATGAATGAATTAAAGTATTTTATAAGAGAACAACTAATACCAATGGGTGGATCAAATTTGTTGAGTGGTATAAAACATGTAAGATTTTCTTTAAAAACACTCCATTAATTTAAAGATGGAATTGATTTATGTCCAAGCCCTGAAAAAGTGGAGTCATCTTGCCTCATTTGTTGATTGGCTTTTTTCAATTACGTTAACTGTTTTAAGCTTTTCTAACATTTTAATCAATAATTTTCAACTATATAGTTATGCTTAGGGAAGATTGATACCTTCTATTAACGCCATAACTAAACGACAGTTGTTGAGATACTTATAGAGTGATGACAGAAATTTTCTTTTCTTTTGAGTTTTAGAATATTACTTATCTCATAAATTTATCCACATTTTATTTCCAACCAGTCAATTATAAAAAGATGGTTGGTTTGGAATAAAAACATCTTTTAAATAAATGGTATAGAAAGGAGTATATGTGTCATGTTCATTAAACGTCCTACTTATTAAAAGCTAACAGTATAATCACTCTTAATATAATGATTTTAGTATACTACTTTATGAAATAATCAAATCTCTTTGTTGATATTTGAACTGTTTTCAAACACTTATAAGGGACTTGATTAATTTTTATAGATGTTTATTTCTAAATTAATTGTTTGACTTATACAATAAATTGCTGAATAATTGGCCTTTGTTAATCATATTTTTAAGAAAAAGTGAAGATAGAAAAATTGAGGATTAAAATGAGTTTAGATTCATCATAATGCTTTTAAGCAATTCTGCAGAATTTTATAACTTACGTCACAAACTGATGATATTTGGACAATCAGTGACAACCAAACGGTACTGGAAAACTGTTTCGTCTTAGTATGGGACTTCCCAGTAGTGCTTATCCACGATCCTATGCGGAGTCGAACACACGACCTTCAAGTCCCACTAAGGGGACTTAGCATTTAGACTACTGAGTCCGTATTTAATAGTTTACACTTCTAACTTTAATCAATTGGCAATGTTTCACCACCATCTCCCAACCTTATTAGTGGGTAACTTAATTATGTGCTCACAAGTAAATCCTGCCGAGAGTTGATTTCCGGAGTTCTAGTGTGAAGCGTTGACCAGTGGATTTAAACACCAGTGACATTTAAAGATGATTGTAAAACATCGCCAATTGAATAAAGTTACGAATGTGAAACAACGAATACAGACTCAATAGTCTAAAAGTTAAGTTCCCACATAGAAACCTGAAGGTCGTAAGTTCGATCCTGGGTAAGGTCGTGGACACGCACTTCAGGGGAGTTCCATGCTAGGAAGAAACAGCTATCCAGTGAATTTGTGTTGTCAGTGGCTGCCTAGCTAAGGTCAGCTTATAATGGTAAAGTATTTAACACAATAGTCTCAATAAACCCTTTACACTCTTCCTGTAGAGCGAGAAGATATGTTTCCTTGCAAATAAAAAAAATAAAAAATCAAATCATCTGCACATTTATACACCTAAAGTATTTTGACCTCATGCATTTTATACTTTAGTAACTAATAAATAATGTAAATCAGTAGGTGCAACAATTTTATTTTCTGTACCATGAAAGTGCATTTCTTAATTCCCTATTTAATTAATGGTCATTACTAAATGTTGTGTTTTGAATAAAAAAATACTCTCCTTCATCAAATTCGGTAGCTATGTTCAGACTAGTCATACATGCTTCATTAAACACTATATATTTGTCTATATTGAATAGTAATGTTGAAAATGATAATCACCAGTCCCTTACTAAAATGAAATAATGCACATTTATTCCAGGATCTTTGATTTTAACTAATTGACCGACTGAAACGATGAGTATCAAATATGGAATTAATCCTCATTTGATGATCAATATATGTTCTGTATTTAATTCTGAGTTTTGAACGAAGTTCACAGGAAAAGAATATGTATTAGGCTTTCGTCCACAATTAATATGTAGTACATAGGAATTTACGTTTACATATATGTGACAAACTTTAGCATAAAAATTGGCATGATTATATGCGATTGCTCTAACTCAAATAAAATTTACTTTATTAATAGTAACGGGCATTTTTGAATCGTTTGTTAGAAAAAGTTCCGAGTTCAAAAGACAGTCAAAATGAGTACTATATACTGAAAGGTTGACTTTATATATTCTTTTAGTACAAGAACTAATGAAAAACAAAATATATATGTTTTAACTCACAGTGTTATTTATTTATATGATTGTTTAGATGATTATGTTTGGTAGAAAACAATTAGATGTTATCATTATAGTATGTGGTAGTTATCCAGATCAACCTGCTATATTTATTCAACAATATTTAGAGCAAATATTTGCTGGTCTCACATCACCTCGACTACATTTAGTTGCTTATGATTGTCGTAATCCTGAAGTTAATCAATTGTTAGCTCAACTGGCTACAATAAAAAGTGATTTCATCTATCATTGTTATTTAACTGAGAATGAATCGGCTGTGTATACAAGTGATGAAATCGCTCGTCTTCTGAAAGAGATAAATGATGCACAGGTTAGTGTTAAACATTAAATAATTGTTCCTTAAATTTTCTTCCTTTCATAAGTTAATGGACTATAATCATAACTTAATTATTCAAAAGACTGGAATTCTTTTGTTTCTGTGTAAAAATGAACATCATCAAATCAGAAGTCTTATGATACAACACAGGTTTCGATTAATCAAGCAAGTTATCTGCTTATTATTCGAATGCCTTTTATATTGGTCACTTTTTTCTAGAAACTGTGCTAAGAATGGAGAAACAGAAAGCTTGCTGTCTTTTAACTTCACGCTTTGTAATCCAGGTTAATAGTTATTATTTATTTAAGCAAATACACTTAATCAACTGGTATCATTATTAGTCAGTGTTCTGAACTCGAAGTGAACTCTCAATAATCGATGTTATCAAAGGAAACCGATATACAAAATCCTCATTCCTGCATACTGGTGTAACGTTGCGGTCATTTTGTCATAAAGTCTAATATTCAGAGTTTTTATTGATGATTATCGACATAGGTTCTATATTTTATTCCTCCCTTTTGAAAAGCTTCAACATACTAATAAAACTTTCGTTACGTACAGATTTTATTTCGTGGTCATTTGCATCTATAAAACTTCAGCTTGACGAACCTGCACCCCACTGAAGCTTACCTTATTCACAAAAATAAATTGAAAGCAATCATGCAAAGTTACCACACATTACTTAAATATTGTCAGTCTAATTCAGTAGGGATGCATGTGCAAAAAAGTTCACATATTACTTAAGAATAGCAAGCAAAGGTAGCAGTCTGAGACTATTATTTAAAGGCTTAATATTGTAAGACGGGTTTAATTTTAATTCTCAATGTAGTATAACAATACAGATATCCAAAATTCTACGGTACAACAGAAAATAAGTAGTACATTTCAAGTTCAATTTTTGACCATGATCAAATTGCATTTGGTAGATGATTATGCTGAGTGGTATTCGAACTAACATGTGTAGAATTCAGTATTTCTCACCTAAATTTATTACGCATTAATGCACCATCCTTTAGTCATTCTTGAATACAAGCTTGTATAATAACATAGAATCTCTCACAAACTGTGCTGGTTGTATTTTTAAGTTTCCTTTTAATTAGTATCCATCTAGAAGAATTTCCTTATTTATTTAATGTTACCACAAAGAACTAATTCCAGTTCTATTGAGGATAGATCAGTAATCTTATTATTTTCATAATCAAGTTGTACTTTTATTACTTTATTTATTCCTAGAAAGTTCTTGAAGTTGTTGGTCATCTAAGACAAGAAATGGAGAGCTCGTCTACAATTGCTCAGCAAGCTACCGATGAAGTGAACATGGTATCCAATGCAATGTGCACTTCACCAATATACTATCTACCTCAACCGACTGACACCAGTTTACTGCATGGAAAACTTCAGTTGGATCATTTGCATAGGTATGTATTCATTAAATATCAAAAATTCGTAAACAGATACTTTACTTTATTCCAGACAATGTTGTAGACAATGGAAACCATTTCAACCAACTTCTTCTCAAGTTTGGTTACATAAACATGGGCTGAAAGCTCGTAAACTGAATTTATTTCAGGTAAGTTGTTTTTCAGTTTGCAGATATTTAGTTTACAAGAGTTGTACGGGAATGATGTGACTAGTTGCTTACGTTAATTTGAGTCAAATTCACACCGTGCGACAATTTGTTAGCACGACCTGATGTTATGTGATAACTAGGCTATCCTACCTCGGGACAAAATCATACTATGTAAACATTTTGTTAAGGCATAAAAGGGGTAGAATTATGCAAGAAGAGACTGAATGCAGTGTGTGCCACTGAAATGATATGGATTAATTAATCAGCGTTAGTCATTCCTGACCTTGATGATATTCGTTAAACAATCCAGAGTCTAGTGATCAGTCCTCCGGCATAGAAATGGCTAGATGGATGAATAGTTCGCTTATGACCTAATAATATTTCACTTTCCCCACAACTTTATCATATTACGAGTATTAAGATACATGTTACTTTTATTTAACGGCTTGATATAATAAAGCAGATGAGTCTTTAGTACTTGTTTAGATTGTAATGAGCATCACATTAAATTACTTACTAAGGATTATTCAGGTTCTTTCAATTGAGGGTCACTTCCGATAACAGCCAAAGCAAAAAAGATGGATTTTGATCCCTGTAAATTCGATTAGTGTATCCTATGAATATTTAACATTTTCAAGTCATTGTTCAGACATGTTAAATATGATCTTAAAATGTATATTATTTGTCACATTTAGATGTTGGCACCAAATGCATATTCACAAGTTGTTGGTTATATCCCATCAATTCAACGCTCTGTTAGTGCTCAAATACATGAAAAGTGCATGGTTCAAGTTAGGTGGCTTGATGGATCAATTAAAAATGTCCATGTTGATCCTAATGAATTATATAAATACCAAACACAGATAACAAATTTGGTAAGTAATGAAAACTGCTCCATTTTGTGTGCAGGGATAACACAAATAAATCGATAATCTAATTTCAGTTACTTTAATCTAAGCCAGCTGTTGACTATATTTCATATCATTATAAATTTTATCACTACCTGAAGACCATTCAAAGATATACACAGTTCACCAAATAACTAATCCACAAAATATTTATAATTTTTGTTACATTCCAAACCAGATTATAATAGCGATTTAATCCTTTCAAAGTCATTTGAATGCTTTGTAACGGTAGTAGTATCAACGGAATGGCAAAAAATGTTATCACATAATGTGAATTTAGTGAAAATGACGATTTTTCCCATGGAGTTGAAGTAGATGTTTGCCACAAGTTTCAAACTGACATGAGACTGCTTATCGATGGGTTATAAACAATGTAATACATGTCACAAACGTGCATCGACGCAAGTTACCTCATCACATCGGCATGATGGCATGAAATTAACGAGGTGGGTTGTAAATAATTAGCAGTTATATCTAGGGTTGTGAAAAAATCTTAAATTTATGAAATATGGTTGAAGTCAAAATTAAGACTTTTCTAAATAAAATGCACAAAATAATGTTAAAGCTGAAAATTTGAAAGAATGCTGTGAATTAATCCATTTACGCTACTGTAATCCATGTTCATCGATGTCACCACTGATCTTTAGCTTCTGGTCACGATTATTATGCGAGACCAAACCTGGAGATTTAGGCCTTTTTACAGGGAACAAGTTAAGAGTCAGTGACTTCATGGATTGATTCCGAGTCCTAATTTGTTAGTTACAAGCCTATTTTCAAAGGAATTCGATGTAAACCAACATAGAAAGACATTAGTGACAGTGAATTAGTTTAAAGTATCGTCAGTTTATTGATCATACTTATTTTTTAATATAATAAGACCATAAAGATGTTAGTTTTTCACTAGCCTTGAACAACTATCCAGAGGATATTGCCGTATGTTAAGGGAATTGCTTCTTTAAATTTAATTAAGAAAACATCATCAAATAAGCAAAGATGGATAGTGGTTAGCAGTGGAATCCAGGACGCGCGTTTCGCCCTATTTGGGACTCGTCAGCTGGATGTCCCTGCATCTCAGAGTTGATGTTCACTCTGGGACTCTAACCCAGTACCGTTCGCATCAACACACCATCACATTATCACTGCTAGCCACTATCCATCTTTGCTTAGAATGCTTTTGAATTAAGGCAATATCGAGGAAATACGTTCAGTATGCACATATGCTAATAAGAGACTGATCAATTACATCCTAAATATCAACGGTAAGATTCAAGTAAACAATATCAAGTGACATTGTCAAATAACTAATAATTTTAAAGTATATTTCCTTGTCCATTGGCACCAGACAATGATTATTCTTATTTTTAACTATGGTGTGTACAATACAAACTATTTCAGGTTCAACTGACAATTGATGACAAATGATTTCTCGTTGTTGAAAAAAATCATGATTTTGCTTGAAATAAAGCAAATATATAACCCTCTTTTTTGAGAGGCTTTTCTTTGAGAAGTTCACACCATACTTGGTTTTTTTTAATGTAAACAGAAAATTGATATGATATTCATGAAAATTCAATTGGAATAAAAAGTATCACAGAAGAAGGACTATAGTCTCGAAATGGATCTACAAATAGGTACTGTAATTTAAATTTACCGACAGATATCAGAGAGCAGTTAACAGTAACATGCAAGACATCCTTAAATCAATAATTCGGGGTCCAATATAAGTCATATTTTCAACTCCAATCACCTCGTGATTCAGCGCGATTTTCGACCTGAATTATTGTTGAGTTACTGTCCTGCTCTTAACATGGCTGATTCTACTACTAATGGTTTCCTAACAAAGTATCGGGAAATTCATATTGAAGCTGTTCACTTGTCAGCAGGAATAATTATTAACAAGGTGGTGATTTAGTCACCTGATGCACATATAAAGTAGTTAAGGATTTACTATAAATCACGAAAAGTAGTTTATTGACTAACGATTATCTAGACATACCACCTAGAGATAACGTTTAGACTGTCGCACTATGTGACCTACTTTTAAATCTCTGAAATAGTAGTGATCTCTTGAGGAATGAAAATACAAATTCCTAGTAAATATCAGAAAACACTAGATCTTATTGACTATCAAAATGAATACTGGTTTGTTTAGATATCCTACGACTCACAAATTCAATGTACAATATTATATCATTTTACCGTAAGTCTACTATACTGTGTTAAACACCAGTCGAATAAATTAGAATTATAACAAATTCTATTTGGATTTTTCTTTTTAGGCATTACTTACCTATATGCCTTATCCAATGAACACTTTTGATATACTATAACAATTTAAAACAGTTAGTCCCTTTGGTAAGCAAAGATGGATAGTGGCTAGCAGTGGAATCCAGGACGCGCGCTTCATCCTATTTGGAACTCGTCAGCTGGATGTACCTGCATCTCAGAGTTGATGTTCACTCTGGGACTCGAACCCAGTACCTTTCGCTTCAAACGCCATCGCGTTATTCACTCGGCCACTGAGTCCTGATAGCCACTTGCTATATCGAGGCAATACACACAGTATGCACATACGCCAATTAGAGATTGACCAGTTGCAGTCCTAAAAATCATCAATGGGAAGATCCAAATAAACAATACTAAGTAAACTAGTCCCTTTGATAAATTTCGATAATGCATTGAGAAGACGAAGTTTATTAGAATTATGTAATATATTTGTACGATACATTTTGAACTATCTGATCACACGTAATGTACTTGTTAAGAACATTTATATATAAAAATAAAAGGTCAACCGCACAAATTAAAAGGTAAGCGGAAATAAAGAACAATAAAGTACACGCAAAGAATAAGAAAACCACACTGAATAACAAATAATCATAAATCACTATGATTAAATTTTTACAGTGAAATATTCACTTTTTACACCGATTATTAGGAAAATTCAAAAACGAATGATTAATATTATATTAGTTTCTATTTAGGTAAATTAATTAAATGTGCATAAACCTCATTTATATTATCTTCCTTATTTGTTTTGTTTTTATTACTTTTAACTAAGGTTGGATTATTAGAAAAACGAATTCATTGGTTGACTCAAAAAAGTCGTGGATACTTTGGTACCCTTATAGAACCGAACGTAATCATTTTAATTGATTTATCAGAGTATAATACTATCTATATGGTTCATATACACTATTGTCTACGTCATTTACTCGAAGAACAAATTTCAACAAAATCTAAATTTAATTTAATAATATTTGGCTCGAATTCTATGGCTTACCAATCGAATTTAATTGATGTGAATGTTAACACTTTACAAGCTTCATGGGATTGGTTTAAAACGCACAATTGCAATGGCAGTCGTAATTTGTTAAGTGCTTTGAGGTTGGTTTGTGTATACAATTCGGATATAATTAATGTATAATTAAACAAAAACGTTTTTATTTTCTAAAGAAAATTATGTCAGTTAAAGATGGATTTTGTTACAACTTGATGTCAGCTAAATAACCGTTCAAAACCGGAGAACACTGGACAGTCCTACAGGCTGGTATATAGATACGCATCCGGAGTTCACTTACATAAACCCATTGGGGATATGAATCAGTATCTTAAGTTTTCACAACTTGCGCGTTAGTTAGTTAGAATTCAATACTCCACACCATCTTTGCTTAATAATATCTATGCTGAACAAACAGGTTACTATTTAATGACTGGTTCAAGAGAATTATCTTATAAGATTTATTATTCTTTACAACAATATTTTATTAATAGTGATCGATCCTATCTGATCTACTACAGCCAGAATCATGGAACAAAAGTTTATAATGATTATCATCTGTTGAGGAATTTCTGTGTGTGTTCATTCCTATATTGATTAGTAGCTGCAATCTGACTAGATTAATTTTCACTGAGAGTTGTTTATTGTTAATTAATACAGATTGTGACCACACAAAAACGTCTTTCTTACCATTTTAAACATATTCTATTGATGGAAACAATCTGGTGATATTTTATTCATCACTCGAAGTTGATGAAAATTATCTCATCTCTACCAACACGAATAAAGTAAAACGAAGGATAAAAAGAAAATTCAAAAGCTCAATAATTGACGCGATCTGATTACATTATTGAATTAAATGCTCAATTAAGAACTTGATAAGAAGTATGTCCATCTTATCTACAGTCATTTATTTTTAGAGATGTGGTTACACTGTTTATCATTCCATGTCAGAACAAATGATTTCTAGAAAACCATTTAACTAATAACGCACAAAAATGTAAGTAGTAGTGAACCACATAAAATATACGTTTATTATTTTCATCAATGAACGATAAATACTCGTGGAAGTATAGAACAAAACGTTCAGATGATTCCCTTAATCACAACATACGAATATTCGTCAAGATTTAAACAAATAGTTTTACAGAAATCAGGCGCCAAAAAAATATAGAATACATAATTCATAGTTGCAGCGTTTAGTCCAGTAAACGTGTTCGAACAAAATTTCAATCGTTGAAATTACTTCAAATATAAATTTCACTGAGTAATGTTTTTTTGAGTTCTTCAAATAGCTGCCCTCCAATGAGGCAGAATTCGTATCAAGAAACTGAAATGAATCCATCTGTAAATACAGGATCGAAGCTCAAAATCTAGGTCAGTAGATTTCTACTGACTATACCCGAAAGTTTGATATGAAACAAAATGGGACGCAGTACCAAAGAACTTAGTTGATATGGTATTAATATTTTTCTGAAAACTGCAGTCAACAATAAAACATCGCTTCAGTCAACATGTATTGATCAGTTGATATATGTAGCCCGGTTGCATGTTAGAGTCAACAACCTTGAATACTGTGATAGCTAGTGTGGAAGAAAATTGGAAAATAGGCCAGAGATATTTCTTGCTTTATTTTACTGTATGCAAGTTGGAAACCTGTCAAGGACGTAGATCGGTCGAAATAACGCAGCAATATGTTCTCCGTTTCCGTGATAGAAATAATACTTAATCTGTTTTACTAACAGTGTTGATAACTTTGGTTTTAGCCTTATCATTATATCATCGTTTCTGTCGAATTCCATCATCATTTTTGTCTAGCAAAGCTAATAAAATAACGCTTTTATTTGTTGGTTTTGTTTTGTTGTTCATTTTTATTGTTGTATTCGTAGGTTAGTGTTCGAAAGTCAGTCAGAAAAAGATTTGTTTGAATCACACTTAGGAATTTATATATTTACATCAGGTATACCTGATCAGGACAGTGAAGTGATTTCATCTTATTTGGAAGCTAAACGTTGTACGTTTTTAAATACTGATGTACATGTGGTATTATACCATGTAGACAACATCATTACAGATAAACACTTTCCATGTCGTTATGCAAATATTACAGAAACTGCAAATTCTTTACGGTAAATCGGAGATTATTGTCGTTTAATTTTTATTCAATGTAACTTTAACTATCACGTAAAAAATTCAATAGAGGAATAATTGCAACTTTCTTCATTTTTAAGTAAAACGCCTGAAGGTCATTTTAATCTCAAACTAAAATTATCCGGGCAACCATTAAAAATAAAAAAACACAAAACGGTTATATCATCTTGGTTTATGATTCCTTAGGAGTGAGCACCGACGAACGTACAGGGAAGCCACTTCAGAATAATCACTTTTCGTGATTAACTAGATACCTTTAAACCACTGACTCGGAATTACGTAATGCTTGATTCTTATTTTATCCCATCAGTGACTGTATCACTTTCAAGTTGATTAATCCTACAAGTTAATTATTTTCACTAGAACTTCGGAAAGTCTATTCCGAAGCTAAGCTAGGGATTTAAGGAACAAGTTTTTTACGGGAAGAAAACATTTTGCATATTCACCCAAAACTTGGACTGAATTCTTCTCTGGGATATTAAAATTCTTTGTATATCAGAAAGTCAACAGAAATCTGCATGACAGCTCCTACTCGATGACGTCTCAAAATTCCTTCAAATGAACTGGTAGTATAAATTAAATGCTCAGCTTTGGATAGTTTTAACTTTTTAAAGAACAAAATATGTAGGAAAAGTGAAAACTAGGGATGATATCTACTCTAGGTTAATAGATTAATTTATTGACTGTGATAAAATTCTAACCCAGTTAACAAACAAGTTTTGAATGCTAGAACAGGCTGATAAACTGAGGCTGACTCGAAAACTCTAACTAAAATGTTTTCTTTCACATTTCATCAGCCTTTGAAAACTTCAACTTATGAATTAAGGTTATCATGGATTGATATCCCGCTAGTTAATTGCCGTCTCTCTAATTTTCCTATCCTCTTACTAAAACGAAAAGCCCTGGTTAAGCATTTTATGCTAAAACTTCCAACATTATTCATGAAGATCCTGTGATTAACTCGATAACTAAGTTGAACTTATAAAACTATTGTCGATCGGTAAACCTCTGGGTCATCAATATATATACTGGTGATTCGATCTGCTTGCTCAATATTTTTCGTAGCAGGTTGGAAACTCAATACTTTCCTTTATGAAATGCTTTATTGTTTCAATGCATGGGAAAACCCATTTCGTCAAGTGTAATTTGTAAACTGATTATCAACAAAGATATTTGAAAGAGTAAAATGAGTTTACATAATATTAAATTCAAACTGTTTAAATATTCGTTGAAATTAAACGACATGAAGTGTAGGAAATGCTTAATTAGAACGTCTGATATCATTAAAGTAATAAGTTGATATAATTAACTTATACCAGGTTAACCATATTAGGTTATAATATACACTTTCAAACCAAATGGATTATTTTAATTTTCTATATTACTGCTTTATATTTTATCATACGACTTCCTTTAGTGAAATAGCCCATTCAACTCCAAATGGACGTTTTCATTGGTTTCGTGAGAATGGTATCATAGAAAGTGATGATGTTCGCGTTCTATTGGATGAAATAGACGAAGCAGTCAGCTATTCAAAACAAGCTCAGTTACTTGTAGCAACAATCACAGATAAACGAGTTGGATCAGAGTAAGTTGAGTTTGAATAAATCAAAAGATACATTTTAAAAATAAGTGTTCAATAATATGAATCATTAAAAAGAGAATAAGTAACAGCTCCTCATGAAAAATAAATGGATAATGTTCATTCCTAAAACGAATAGGGATATGAAAATTGTTACGTCCTTGAATCTTTCTGCCCACTTTAGTGCCGAGTATGACTTGTCTAATGTAGATTAAGATCTTGACGCTATAGGCTGACTGGCTTAACCATGAGGGTAGTATGCGTGAGTTCGAAGTGGGGTAGAAAGAAGAAAACTGTTCTATCACCTGATTGGCTGACAGGCACGCGCGAGAGAGAAGACAAGACAACTGGGACACTACTCGCTTTATTCCTATCCCGATCTGGTACTCAAATTCAGATTAGTGTAAAAAGATACATGAATAAATAGATGACTAACCTGACCACAACGTTCAATGATCAGAAAAATACAATTATGTCCAAAACTGGGGTTGATATTAGAATCATGGCTCGTATAATCCGCTACCACCCTTTTTTTGGAAATTAAAGGATGTGAAAAAAATTTAGCAATTGGTGATTGGTGAATTCGTCTTTGAAAGTGTGTGCTCAAGTGCAAATGAACAAATATTTTGTCACCTGTAATAATTTTTTAATTGGTTGTAAATGGTGCAGCTTTGTTATCTGATTCGTTCAAATAGAACTAGAATAAAGTGCTTTTATTGGATGTAAGAATTGACATTTTTACATCGGATTATTATTTACAATAATGAACTATTTTCGCATTGTTCCATCTGAGTTTTGTAAAAAATTTTAACTTTGAAAAAAACAAAAAACAAATCCATTTCATTACCCTGCTATACTCCTGTTAGTGAATGTAATTTCTTTTTATGAAGTAGAAATGCAACTACAGTTATCAGTAATCGTGACAAGATTAGTAATTATAATGTGTAGATCATTGAAAGTAAATTTTTGAAAAAACTGACAGTTGTTACATAATAGTTGATATAATGGTGATTATTGAATTTCAAAAAAGGTAGTCAAATGTTTAATACACAAATTAGTGAACAGATTTTCATTTAAGTATTCCCATAAGTTAATTTAACACATAGTTCGCTCATTTAATAAACGTTATATTCGTGTAAATATATGAATAAATGATGATGTGAAGAGAGAGTGAATGGGGCATGCCGAAATCACGCTAACCGTAAAAGATGTGTAAATGAAGCAACTTTTAAGCTGTCTGAAATTAGTAATAATGTCTGAGAAAAAAAGCAAATAATTTTTATAATTCAGTTATTTTGCAAACCGTTATTCTTAATACCAGAAAGTGGATCATTTTAGCTTTGGAAAGGGTGTCGAAAATGAACGCAATATCAAGGTTATCAAGGTTTTTTTGTAAATCCATTGAAAGCATAAAATATTTTGACCTGTACATTATTTGTAGTTGATCACTTATTAATGATCACCTAAAATACATGTTAGTGTTGTAATCAGTCATCATGTAATACGGTAATTGTATTTGTGAGGTGGGCATAATATTTTTTGGCAGCTAATGTTAACAGCCAATGTTTTTCAAGTGCACAGCCTTTCAAATTAATGATCTGAATTTTTTATTTTCATTAGTAAATAACATTGTAAACGTTAATTAATTAGAAAGACTGTAATTATATTTCCAAATCCAACAGTTTCCTTTGTTAAACATACTAGACGAACAATGAATAACTGTATGTACATTTTCAATCAAAAGGGAAAATAATTACTCTTAAACTGTCAAACAGTAAATCGCTGATTGTTGAAAAAGTAACCTTTTTGACAAGCATATGTGTAATATAGGTTGAATGAAGTGTCAATGAACAAGCCTACGTCTAGTGAAATAAATTTCTATTTCAATGATATGACTTAATGTGTGATAAGGTCAATTGTATCAAGTAACCATTATGTATTTAGAATATCGTATTTCAATCTGTACATTTATTTATCAGACGTCTAAATGACATTTATCACTGTATCGAATTTTTGCAATGCAGTGATAAATATCATAAGAAAAATTATTATTACATTTCGTATGTTCCATTATTATTATTATTATTATTATTATTATTATTATTATTATTATTATTATTATTATTATTAATGACTTGTTAGACATGTAAGTCATTATATGACGTCGTTTTCTGTTCGGAATCGTTTACTGAAACCTTAAATTTGAAAAACCTTAAAAGCTGTTGACAAAATTATAAAGTGATCGATAATCACTTTATTATTATTAATCTAGAAAAAGTGATTTTACATCTTCATTACTATGGAATTGTGATGAATGATCAGTGTATGTTCACTTGACCTTAGCAATACAAATTATCTTGTTGTACTAATGAACTGATCTCAGTACAATCGTCTACCTTAGCTAAGTGAAAAGAGATTGGAATGATCGTATACACCTTTGCATATACTTTTGTTCGACAGATTAATGTTCATTATATGTTGTTTTCTGTGCGGAATCGTTCACTGAAACCTTAAATTTGAAAAACCTGGAAAGCTGTTGGCATGGTAATAAAGTGAGCGATGATAATTATTAATCTACAGCTTAATTACTATGGAATTATGATGACCGATCAGTGTCTGTTCACTTGACCTTAGCAATAGAAAAGATCTTGTTGTACTAGTGAACTGATCTTACTACATTTCTCTACTGTACCTAGTAACCAAATCATATGAATGTGAAATGAATTATTGATGGTTTCATGACTCCTCCTTAAAATGGAAACAAGAAATTCAAACAAAATTTAAATCAAATTGTGGGTGGCCCTGAAAAGGGCCTTTACTCGGTCTCTACACAGCTCCTTCGGTCCTGATCGATGACTCCACTATGAGTCCGTGACAGCGCCGCACATGAGACAGTTGAACCCAGGTGATACTTCTGTTGGGTCGTAGGCACAGAACGAATGAAACATAGCGTTGCATGGACAAAAAATCCAAGCACTTCCATCAGCTAGTTCACTGGGCGGCTGACATAGATGGCAAATATCACACAGTCGGTCATTGTGCGCACGTTCCATCGTTAAGCAACTGATGAGCATAGTTAAGTAGAGCGGTATGCTGTTCAGCAGACATACACCGACACAAGTAGTGAATCGATGTTTGGACGTTTGTCTGCCCTACTTGTACCGGTAACTCATTGCCAATCGTTACTGTGGTTACGTAGCTGTTGGAATGCAGCCATCTGTCACCAATGCTTTCTCTGTGAACTTCGACATTATCGTGCGAACAATATGCCAAGATGTGACGACATACGACTCTGTGTTCTACATAAAAGAAACAGGAACAACTAATAGGATTTTTGGAGACTGTGTAAGTTCCTGTAGTATCAACGGCCGTGAAAAACTCCCCCGACAATACGTAGTCAGTAACAGGAACACGCATGTGCCGCTTAAGCAGTTTACATGCAGCAGGTGTAAGTGTTTCCTGAAGACGACGTAGTTGAGGCTCGCGACCCAGCACAGCCCTGCTACGGCATTCAGTGGAGTACTTTTGAACTCTAGCTTCTATCCAATATCCAGTGCGAAGCAGAACACGGGTGTTTTTCTGTTCAGCTTATGCAACTTTAAAATTCGATGGGTCGTCTCAACGAAATTTGTATTGCTTTGATCTAGAAGCATTGCAGCTGGTCTAAAAGCGTTCGACCACTTGTGCTTTTTGGACAATAACTGATCTCTCAAATATTGGTAGAAATTCCCGTCTGCTGCTTCGATAAATGTCACATACCGTTGGAAGCTACAATACATTGTAAAGCATATTTCGATTTACCTTTCCACATTTCTTGTTAGCATAAGACGGTATAACATTTGAAGAAGATCAGATCGTAGCCTCTACGAATACGATGAATGGGTTAATTGTAAAGAAAGGAAAGCTTACCCTCTTGATGACATTTCGAAGGAGATGCACGCGGCACAAAAGGTGGTGTGAATTGGGATACACCTGCGTTATGGCAGCAGCTACAGCAGGTGAATCATCGGTAACAATACCGATAACCTCTCTATTGTTACTCACTTGGCGGAAGAACGAGAGGAAACTGGACAGCAAAGTCGATGTTTCGCGACTTATAAATGCAATACAAACAGGTATTGCCATGAAATTCATGTCCAGAGCCACCACGTGATAAAGAAACATGTTTTCATTATTGGTTATGTATGTCCCATCAAAACCAACAACATCTAAAAACCTGTTACACAGATTGATCTGGTCTGCTGTAGCGAAGAAGAAGTACAACAGACTATGATCTGCATCCAATTGATAATCACAAAGGCCACCAAGTGACGTGATGTGATTTTTCAACTTACCGTAATCACCTACAGTTAATAGTATAAATATGCACATTGCTTACCAGGAAGGTTGGCCTGTGAGAACACTTTGTAACGCATATTGAAAACATCTTGAGCTGTAAGACGTTTCCCATATGATTGGTAAGCGTAGTGTATCACATTGAATGCTGATGTTCCAGATATCAGCAGTGGCTTCACTGTTTCCAATTCCGCCGCCGTTAATCGGCGCATCCATGTGTTACAGTCGTACCTCAGGGAATTGCACTCGTGATTGTGATGCACATTCCCACGAACAACAGTCCAATAACCTTCAAGAAACTTACAAAAGATGAAGGCCGGACATTGTGTGTCCATTGAAGTCCTCAACGAACAATATAATAACACTAATCAAATTACCTCCTTCGTCTAATCGGCTGCGAAGAACCGCTTGGTGTTTTATAGCTCTTTCTGCAACATACAAATTTAATATACGGCTTCCGATCTCCATGGAAATGAGAATCTCTCACCGCATAATGGCAGTGCGTTGCTTTTTCATAAGTTCTAATGGCGCTCCTTAACGCTTCCAGTGATGGAAACGCTACCAGATACAATGTATTCAGAAATGCATTTTCCGTTTCTGTGACTACGTGAGGAACAACAGAGCCTCTAATTTGCACGTTACTGACGTCCACATTGTGAAGAAAATTATCTATACTGATAAGTACAGAGCTTTTATACGAATTTCAAGAATTACATAACCAATTATAACGCATTTACAACTAGGAATTTCATTGGACGAAACGGATTGAAAAAAATTGGAAAATGGGATGAAAATTTTTTGACAAAAAAAATTTATTAAAGAAAAATCGACGTGATCCTAATGTTATTCCAAAACTGGGGGATTATTGTAGAAAATAGGGTACAAAAGATTACGTCTAAATGACAATAGCTTTAGAACAGAAAATGTTATGGCAGTGAATTATACATCAAACGAATGCTTATGATCTGTAGAATAGGCTAGGGACAAAAGTAAATGTTACAGTTTTACAAACTTTGAATTAAATGAATTAACATCCCCCAAAATAGCTTCCATAATTTGTAAAGGCTTCTTGTTTTGCGGTTCACATCAAAAATAAAACTGTCTAATAATGCGTATACTTAACAAAGCAATTCACTTACATATGGCTGTAGAATTAAGCTTTGCAGAAACGAATTTATGGACAACCCTTGAGTGACACCAAGCTAACCTCAAGAAAATTCATCAACCTACTGGTGTTTAAAGAGGGTTAGATATTAATGTGAAAAATCAAAATCGGAACTTAAAGTTAGCAGTTGGGGTAAGGAATTAGGGTTTTATCACGAACTGACGCCAGCTATAATATCAAAACACTATTTTCCCTTATGAATGAATGGATTTCACGCCAGAATCAAAGACTCACCATCTTAAATCTGATTGATTCGTCTGTAAATTGTAGTCTCCCCAAAGTTTGCAGACAAATCACTAACTAATGAAGTTAAGACTTATCATTATACAACCTTTACTTTGTAAAACAACTAATGATCTCTATGACATTAGTCTGATTATCATAAATTAGTTATATGGTGCTATTTGTAAAATTAAACAACATCCATAAAATACTTCAGTCAATTATAATCAACCTAAAATCTGATACAAATATGCATCAACTCAAACCTCCAAGCTAGATCAGAAAGGCGAAATGAAACCAACAAATTTTACAAAAGAGTAGAAATAATACAAGTATTGATAAGAGTAAAAAAAATTACTAATCGAAGAGAATATGGTTCAAAAACAAGACATACAAAGAGGGAATAAATTAATTTTGAAACAGAACATTGGAACATAATATACTTCTCGTGATATTATTAGGGGCTAACAATTAAAGTTGACATACATCTGGACTGGAAATACATAGTTAGTAATTACAAGTTCTGTTAATAATTTTTGACATGAACTTTATTCGGTGGTTTCGTTTCTAACCTGAAGGATAATTAGGACATTATCTTTCTATTAAATAAATAATTTTTTCGTTGAGAGATTTATGGAGAGTAATTTTACTTGAAGATAATCTCATTGTGGTACAACATTGGATGAGTAACTAATGACAAATTGAGAGCACTGCACACCTGTCAAATTACACCATAAGACTCCCCTAAAAGGGGTACCCACAGCCTATTAAACCTAAACCTTTCAGATCCCTGGAGATACAGTATAAAAAAGTTGAGTAATAGAATAAATATTAAACCATTCCAAATTGTCCAATGAATTTTATTTTAGATGATCATGGTCAATTTGTGCGTTAAAGCCTACATATATTATTTTACAAGTCATCGGATTATTTATTAATTGAATCTTGGTTTATAACAGAATAAATGAACTAAATGTAAATGGGATAAAGAAAAGTTGAGATTATTGGACCTTCTGCTTGATAATGCGTGGTTCAAAACGATCGAGATCCGAATTTTGTGATAGAGTGCATCTTTTCGTTAAAATTACTCACAATCCAGAAGGGGCTGCTTCACTCTGTTAGAATCAAACCCACGTTTTCCAGTACCATGGAAAATTATTAGTTAGCAGCTACTGGCCAGCTGTGAGATTGAGATATTTAATTTATTCTCTTATTTTACATAAATTAATGTCCTCGTGTCTAGTTCTTATTCCTAGCATAAAATCTAAGCTTAGGGTTTTCTGTCAATCGCTTCGAAACACTTAACATCGAGGGAAGTTCATATCGCGATCCACTCACTGGTTGCAATATTGAAAATTGATTGGCAAGATTCTGTTATCAGTAAAGGTTAGACAATATGATATAGATTAATATTCAGTGATAACTTTAAATCTTGTGCTCTGAAATAAGATATTTCCGATCCATATTTTTAATCCATTCTGAAAATACGATCACACTAACAAATTCTTGTTAAATCAAAATTACAAATAATATTAAATTACATTCTACATTGGTTACTTTTAATTTTCCATAAACATTGTTTGCTTTGTTCACCATAATATCTGTCACTAAATTCCCACAGCTTTAAGTTACCACTAATACAGTTGATAAGTCATAAAACTAATGCTCTATTTCTGAAGCATTTAAAAATGCATTTATTTTAAACCAACGATTCAACTTCCGTTTATTTTCATGTTAATGTAATTTTTTAATGATCGGATACTTTTTTTCTTTAAATGATATTGAAATATATAGAGTTGATTGGAATAAGTCTGATAAAAGCATAGTTTCAAAGAATGTTAGTACGGCTAATCAATTATTGGGTGGATTGGATCCTTCAAATCAAATTGAACCACGTTTGAACTTATTGACATTGGCTAGAAAAGAAGCCATTGACGCAAAAATGAAAAGTATTACCACTGATAATGATTCACATCCAAAAGCTTTGACATGGTATCAAGAAGCCAATAATGCCGACAGGATACGACCCAATCCTATGAAAAGTAAAGTTTCCGGAAGAAAAAAATCTAATGTCTTAGCAAAACCAATTCAAATTAAACGATTCAACTGTCAAATACCCACAGATGAAGAAAAAGTATGTACTTTTGAATAGTTGCTTCATCTTTCGACTATATATGAGTTAGAATTTTTTTACTATCACAGTTTGGTAGTAGTTACATTTTTACCTGATGGTTAGTAAAATTTCTCCATATGCCAATGGTATGTAGCAAATTTTACTTGCCGATGCTATCCGAGTTAACTTTAATCTACTTCCTAGAAATACGCTCCTTACAAGTTTTTTTTCTTCATTGTCACAGATTTGATGACTGTTTTGTCCATATATCAGTAGAAAAGTAAGTCTATTGTTTAGTTTCGAGTGATTCTACAGCTTACTATTCCAAAGTCAGTATTTATTAGGTTACGTCTAAGAACTAATTGATACAATACTGAGAGAGGAATATTACAATCTATATAATATCCATTTTTTAGCAGATTTCTTTAAATTACTTTAACCATATCAAAAATAAAAATATTGCTGACTAGCTGTGTAGCTAATTTGTCTACGGTCTTCATTAATATTAAATTATCACAAGATTCACACTCCTTTCAATGTCACACATGAAAACGGAATCGTTCATATTCTGAGTTTTTTTATGGTTATTTTTGATCAAAACCAGTATGTGCTAATTGTACTAATTGAATAAAATAAGTCCACTAGTCAATCTATATTTTTATTTGTTACGTTAATTTTGGGAAGCTTACGAGTCGTGAATGGTTACGTAAATACAGCATTCGTAGTTTGGGACTTAATTTAACGCGTCTCACATCTGGAATGGATTGTAAACATGAAATGTCTTTTGTTAATTCCACTCGAACAATGGTTCATGCACGTTATTGTAGCGGGTTATTTCCTCTTGTAAACGTGGCTGGAACTCTTCGACATCTTCAATATACTTTGGACGAACTAGAAGCTTTTGAACAAGAGGTAATTTTATAATTATATGACTATATATATACATGCAAATAATTATTTCTTTTAAGCTGTAAGATTTGTTTAATCATGTAGTTTACAAAGATTTCAACTCGGCGATCAAAAAATCACATTCTCCCGGCAACTTATAAAGACCTTGGGTGAGATTTCGTGTTGTGTTATGGGTGAGAACTGTTGAGGAGTCCTAAACTTGGACACAAGAAATGTCTTGTATTCTCTAGTTTTCCATAGTTTTGTAGATAAAATCAGCATAATATATGGTTAGAAATGTGAGCATAAATGTCAGTAAAAAAAACACTACAAATTCCTAACGCTTGACAGATAGGAGCGACTTTTTATACGATTATTTCACTCTTCCGATAATTTCGTCAATTTTATAAGTAGTCGTAAACCTGCTTGTTGAGAATGTTGACTTCCATTCATTAAACTCTAGCTTAAACTTAAAAAAATAATTAAGGTCAACTGGACTTCTCTAGGTAACCGGTAAAAAATCAAATATTGATGTACATGAAACTTAAAGTACCTTATTACTATAAAAAGGAGAAAACAAAATATACAATGTGAAATTGATTTTTCATACAACCTACCTGACTTCCTAATTATACATTTGTTATCGGGAATTAGATCTTTATTTATTCTTTGCTATCATTAATGATCTTTATAAAATCTATGATAGTTGAAACAAGGAATAAAAATTAAAATATCTGTTGTAATTCTTGTGATCAAATAATTGACACATGTGATACATACATCCTGAAATTATGATCAAATACTCGTAACTATTTTTTTTACGGAAAACGTGGTTATTGGAAACAGTTTTCATCGTGAACAGACATTATCTGAAGAACCACTGAAAACTAAAGATGATAGAATGAATGTTTCATTCTAGTCTAGAACTCTTCAATAATGCAAACATTTGGAGCATCTATTTTCCATTTGTACAGATTCTAGAATAAACTATCCTATTTTAGATTTGCTTTGAGTAAATAGTTTGGAATACTAACCATATATATTGACGTATTTTCATGAATAGCTCACAAGTTATTGAAATGTTAATTACTAGTAAAGGTGAACGTGAACACCATGGTCATTAGCATATTTTCCTCCTAATCTGTTCTTTCGAGGTACGAATGAAAATTATATTAGAATTCATTCATCCAATATATCATGAATCAAAGATTGTTTTATTTGAAAAACCGGTGGAACAATTTGTAGACCCAAGATAGGTGACATACTGACTATTAAAAGACATGTTATTATCGAAAACCTACAACTTAAATATGTGTTTTACAGAAATTAGTTGCAATATCTCATAAATATTGCTGAGAATTCCTTCTTGCAAAAACGTACTATTGAAAGAAGCGAATATTACTTGAAAGAATTACACATTGTATCAGGTAGTTCTCAAAATTACGTCGGTTCGTCGTGTTATAACAACAACAACAACAAAAGATTAATATAGCCATTTTACTCAAAAAACTAATTTAACAATTTTATAGAATACTATTCAAATGACATGAAGTGGAATTTTTCTGACACATTTAGAGTTATCATCACGAGAAAAATCATTGTACGACTTACACAGTAGCATTAAGTGACTTGAAAATCCTCATTAAATTTGATCATCATACTAAATAGGTTTAAAATAACGTATCAACAAAAATATAACAATATTTATGTAATGAAATAACTCGGCTCATCAGTTGATTATATTTCCTGGTGATCAACAGTGAGTGACGAGAGGTAAATTCCATTTTATTTAATGTTGTTCTAACTATAAGTCTCTCTATTTTCATTCTGACTAGAATTCAGGATCTACTACTTTAAACGTCACACTGTTATCCATTATTTCCCGATCCCAAACTTTTTCATATCTGACCACTGGAAAACATAATTTTGAGACTTAATCAATAAATTTAAATGGAGTCACTTAGAAATAAAGGTAGCTCTTTTAAAACCAACTGCAAATATTGCTTTTATAACACTTCAAATGACCCGCTCATTTTTTTCTAGTAATCAGTTTAATTCGTATGTTTCTTTGGGACTATACTTGTGAGATTTATGTATAATAACCATACCACTTATTAGTAACTAGGACTTATTTTCTTTCTCATACTTTATTGGTTAAACTAAGAGTTTTATTAATTGATAAATATTCTACCAATTCAACCATATTGAACTGTCATTTTCTGCCAGTATGGGTTGATATTTGAATTTTGTTGCTTAGGTTATAACCTTGAATGTGAGTCTCACATAAACTAGTCATCGGATGCGAGGAAGTTAGTTACTTATCGAAGACAATAAATGGTAGCTCAGTGTAGTAAACTTGTTGAAGTTAGACTCATACAGGCTTAGGGTTCAAAAGTTAGGCGTTAACTTGCGAGACCGTAGGTTCTGGGTTCAATTCCCGGTAGTCGATTCGCGGGAGCACACTGCCGAGGATTTTGATACCAGGATGAAGCGGCTTTCCAGAGCTCTCAAGCTTTAAATAACTGTCCAAAACAGATTGGTTTGGGATATCAGCAAAGTCATTCTTTGTTGTAGAACCCCTTATTATTTACATATTTTTATCCATAACTATTCCAAGAGGCAATCACAATCTTTTGATCTATCCGTTCTCAAGTGAGTTGTTTCGGTAAATCTAAAAAAATGTATACTGAGATTTACTGCAGTCTATGCAATTTCAAGAAACAAATTTTCAAGACTGGAAAAATCAACATATTACTGAATTATAAAAGAAACAGAAGACTGAAATAGATCACATATACTCTGCAAATAGATTTATGTCAACAAAGAGATAAATTCATTTCAGATTTCATAACTAGGTGGCGTAGTCTATAATCATTTAGATGAATAATTTAGATCTACCTCATTTGTTAATGCAAAGTTCACTTCTAAAATATTTTAAGTCATTCTTATTGACGATAGCCAAAATACATTTATTATCCCATCTTCAGATACAGCTATCAATCAACCTAATTTAAACAATAAATAAAACCGCTAAAACCCTAAACAATATTAAGAACATGAAATTCATTAAAACTGTTGATTCAAGTAAATGTACAATTACAATTATTTGGTCATTTACAATGGAATTTAGAGATGACAGCTTTTTCTGCTTTGTATTCACTAGTTGATTGTAAATAGACCCCAGAGATTTATGATAAAATAACTATATCTGACAAAATAAACATAGGATTACAAACGAACAGTATATTTACCTATCCAAATTATGGTTGGCTGTTATAGGTCCAAATACAATGGTTACTGAATGACAGTTCAGTTTACAAAACAGCTTAAAATTCAAAAGAGATCACATTAAATAACATAGTAAATTCAAGAGAATGGTGGGTTACAAAAGTTACCATGCAGCTTTGTTATTGTTAAAACTAATCTAACTGTACCCGTTAAAAAAAAATTATGATGCATTCATGAAGTTTACAAAATAATTAAAATATATTATTTGCTCTGATTTTAAGTTCACAAATAATGTTTATGCATCCTTACTGTTCATAGATATTTTTATGGCTATTTTCAAAACAAATACAAAACGTTATCTAGGTAGCTAAAGCATTAAAACGCTATATCAAACGTTACGAATGGTTAACTACAGGATCGAGGAAGTATTTTGGTCTTATATGTGAAGAATGTATAGTCATTTTGATTGATACATCTGGCTCAATGGATGCTCATTTGAATGAAATAAAAACGTATCTGAAGCTTTTAATATGGGAACAATTACACAAGTAAGTTTCATTAATGTCTTTTTCTGACGTCGTAACTACAAGTTCTTGGTGTTAATTGGGCTTATCATAGTGTCTACCAACCATTAGGATACAACTGAGTAGATTATATAATATCCAAGTAGCTGAAACATTGGGAAATTTCGAGTTAGATCCCATTTCAGGTGGACGTGCATACTAATAGATATTAGAGCTTAAAAACCTAGATTACTTTCTAACTTACAATGACTCTAAAACTAGTATCGGATCAAATTAGTAATTAGGTTCAGTTTCATGAATTTTTGATATTGTTAAGCTGATTTATTTAACCAAAGGATCAATAACTAAAATCCCAACTTTCTCTCTGTTATTATTTATACTGTTGAAATCACTAAGAGATAGAAGTCGATGAACCACTGAAAATCAAGCAGCACTAGATAGCTTCTAATTTCCCACGTTGAATTGGCCCGATACACAATTGTACGAGGTCCTACGTTGTTTTAAATAACTACCTGACTGGAATACCGTTTTTTCCCTTTGATTTATTACCTGAAAATTTTGTATACTGGTTTGCAGTTCATATTTCCTCAGAAGTCTATGACATTGTAGCTGACCACTAAATAAATAAAGTTCCTTTTACAATAACACTTTAAGTAAACATAACCTTTAGAAGCTAGATTTTTCAAATAAGATTTAGTGTAGATTATCATGTTTCTCGTGATCAGAATGCTGGTTGAATGATGCTAACTTAAAGGTAGGAAAATATAATTTACCACATTTATATTCATTTGTTTATAGGAACAAGGTGTTTTTCAATATGGTTAGTTTTAGTAGTACATTACTTGAGTGGCAGGCTTCCGGTGTAGTAATGGCAGATGAAGTTTATTGTCATGATGCTATTGCATGGATTGATCAACTGAAGGCTACAGGTGGTACGCGTACCGGTGAAGCAATTTTGTGTGGTTTAAATCATTTACAAATTATGAATTCATCGAATATAAAAAAAATGTATGATGTAAACTTCAATGAAATGAGTAAAGGGATATATTTAATTACAGATGGTAAACCGGATGTTAGCTGTTCTTCATTGATTAAAAATATTGATGAAGTTTGGAACTTCAATCCTGACAGTAATGTTGACTTACAAAATAAAAAAATACAAAAGAACTCTAAAACGTTAAATAACACAAGTAGAAAGGATAAAATCAAACATACAAAAGCTTCTAAATTGGTACAATTACACAAATGTCCACCAATACACACAATCTCCTATACAAATGATCAGTAAGTTGATATTATGTGAATACATTCTTCCTCAGTAGATTCTATATTTTGTTTAAGGAAATATGGAAATGATTATTTATTGAGTTTCTAGCTTTTGTAGAAATGTGCATAAAGTTACCGAAGAGTATTGGTTACAAAGTTCCCTGGCTATAATCAACTCAGTGTAACCAAGGCCTGTCACATCTGTTTTCAAAAAAAAACATCAATGGGAAGATTCAAACAAACAATACTAATTGAATTTAGTAATGCACTTAGTTAACTTTGCATGCCAAATGAAACGATAAAGAGTCGAGATTAGGAAGGATTTAGTAAACAAAAAATTGAAGAAATTAGGGGAAATTATTCATTACTATGATGATTTAAATGAATAGTCCCTTTGGTGATGCTGTATTTAATCAGTATTTTGCACTTGTTCAGCAGCTAATTAATTAGCAAAAACCTGATATGACGATACAGTCACCAAACTAAAGAAATAAACGTATATAAAGAGGTATGATTACGACACGAACCACTAGTTAGCAGAAAATAAATTTTAAGTATAGGGTTGTGAAGAATGTTGAGTTTCAATGAAATCATGAACCGATCAATGTTAGACTACTTTTGAAAACCTGGGAGCATTGAAGTCCGATACTAGGACGAAACAGCCTTCCAGTGCTTTCAAGTTTTCAGTCGTGGTCCGGCACTGATCGATTCATATTTTCGAGGAAAGTAAATTGTAATAACATTTCGTTAGTTCAAATAACTAATTGACCTAATATATCCGAAACCTATAAAAGATCTTTACCAAAGAAACTACTTAAGATAGGAATGAATTATCTTACTATAAATCCCCTATGTCGTGTAAAGTATCTTGAGACATCCTATAGTAAAGAAGTCTCATTTACAATGTTTTAAACAAATATTAATAATGCCATTGTTCCAGATTTAGCAAACGAATAATATCAAGCTCCAAACTGAAAGCCAATTGCTATGTATACGCAGTTATTCTTAATTATCAGTTACTCCAAGCTAATTAAAAAAATCCAGCTTAAGTGGTATTTTGTTTAAATCATCTTTCATTTTCGTTTGTTCAATTACTTTCTGTTAGGACTGCTATATTATTTCTGAAAAAGTTATCAAATTTAACCAATGGACGTTTTCATACGTTTCTGGACATGACGTCTACAACTAATTCGTTTTTGGATTATTTATTACAATCTTTCTCTAAAATGAACACAAGTGAAAATGATATATCCAAAAATCAAAAAGATATTTTGTCATTCCCTAACATTCAGTCAGATGATATTAGATTAATACAGAAAGAAATTCGAACAGCTTATCGAACATTGATTTGTCTAAAATATTTTCAGGATGTATATAAAGAAACAAAATTGCTTCGAAAGTAATAATCAATAAAATTGTGCTATTTTAATTCGTTTTAATGTATTTTTGATCCACTTCAATTTGTCTGAAATTCTATTCTCTCATTAATAAAGTAATTCAGGAGAGTAAAATGTGGTGCGAAATGCATCATTTTAATTGTTGCACTTGCTAAAAATAGTAACCTACGGCAAAATAAATGTACGAGGAAGGGAAAGTGAGCTGACTGTTCTCAAAAATCACTGGAGTCACAAACACCCTGTGGTATCTTAACATTTCGATACCAACCTAGCTAATCAAAAGTGATCTCATACGGTTTATATTATATTTAACAAATCAATATTTTTATCGAACTAACTTTTGTATTGGAGATCTATCAGTGCACTAATTCTAGATAAATGTTCTTTGTTATTTTATTTTGGAGATTTAAGGTTCTTTTATTTTTACACTAACGAGTATTTTCTAGTTCTCCGGTATTGAGATTACTATAAATTACCATTATACTCCTTTATTGAGTTATACAACTTTCAATAACATGGATAAATCCTCCTACTAAAAGTAGATTAGACTGAAACAACTGGAGATTTCGTTAATTGATATTATATATTACATCGGATTATATGGCGTTGACATACGACTGTTACAACTGGCAGAATGGAATAAACATCGGTTCTTTTATTACTAGTAATTTCATCCTTGATTATTTATTTGCTGTCTGACAGTTAAGTCAGAATCATTTCGTTCCAACAGAATATTTTGTACAAGAATTTTATCATTGAATTGTGAGGAAAATTAGTAATAAAACAATTTAATGAAAAACAACAAGAGGTAAAGCATTCCGGGCATCAAGCGAGAAGACTTTTATATTCTTATAATTTTTCACAAAGAAAAATACACAACAACGAAGCATTTAAAGTATACAGTAACTGTAATAGTAATCCAATAAAGTGAACAGTAGCTTCAATTTCATGATGTATATTCTCATATCTGGTAAACTTATGCGTATTTCTATCTTGTGAAATCCTTTTGGTCAGGATTGAGGATTATTTTCATCAGAAATAACCATTTTGCCCATCTCAGTCACTTCATCTTTTGATCAAAAAGATCAAGTAGTCAAATTACTGACGTCATTGTACAGATGGTAGGATTAAAGGCTCATCAGTTAAAATTTTAAGGGCTATAGGTATTGTAAAATACAAATAGACTTATGGGTTTGAAATGAGTAAGTCTTTTTTATGTAAAGAAGATTATTCTACTGAGCTGCACATAAGATTCACAGTACTATGATAGAAAAGTATCTTAAATAAACTATATTATTGACCTAATCGGACTGATGAGTTTAAAACTAAATTGATGAAAATTGGATTTTCAACGTTCTTATAAATTGGTTTATTGTTGACTAGTTCAAATTCATCTGAGTTATGTTTATTTAAGAAGTCAGTGGCTCTTGTAGAGGTTTTTTAACATGTTGTGGGGTCTCTGAAAATCGATGCTGTTTGGAAAACAGTAGCATAATCGGAGTAAACTTTTGTGACAAGTGAAAGTGGCGGTAAATAACTATTTCAGTTATTGTACAATTTAAGTGTTGCATTATTGTCTGTTTCAATTTATGAATGCTATCGTGAATTATCTCAGGCTAGAAAAAAGGCTAATACAAACTCCTCCCTCCACTTTTCCAATTGTTGAAAATTTCTTCACTTATTTTGTACTGAATAGTGTTTCTATGGTTATTATTATGACAAATGATGTGTAACTGCTGAATGTAAACAAATCTGTCGCTCAGCAAGATTCTCAGGGTACTTCAAACAGAAGTCATTTGGACTCAGAGAAATTCACAATTCAAAATCTACCTCAAAGCAATCGTCAAATATTAAAGTATAGTGGTGTTTCCCAGGTCTATTCATTCGTACACTGGTAGTCACGAATATACTAGCGTTCATTTCGGAGAGGAATAAATGATTACGTACAAAGATATCGTACTCCTTAATACGATCCAGACGTGAGATAATGTAGAAAGGCATTGCTAGTTAGCACAAACACCACACCCGCCATGACTTAAATGGAGATCTGTAGTCTGTAGTACGAATTCGCCTTAGTTTCATTGAATGTCTGTTTGATTCTGTGTGATACTGTAACCTTACCGCCTTGACTAAACTCATCAGAGTCAGAATTAATAATAGAGATCAGAACTAACTCTTTTAACTCCGTGATATGTATATACTTGTTTTGGTGGTCATCTTTACCAACCATATTCAATCAAAAAGGTTTTTGTTGGATAAGTCCTGTTTTTGTATCTGACACATGAAAATAATTTTTTTCTCTTCTGAAAGAACAAACAAACAGTAAGTCGTCAACATTGATTCTGACCTTGCCAGTTTGACTGGACACACCCTGGATGATGATAATCATGATGATAATGATGATGATTGATAAGTCTTGCTGATTGAACGCTATACTTGGATCCTAAGGTAGTCTCGTAACCCCCAGGTTGGAACTACACAGTGACTTGAACACGAGAGAAAAGGCGCGAAATATGCGAGGAGCACTTAACTCCAAAGGTTCATCTATGTACAGAAAGTATAGGGTTTTTATAGTAATTTAGAAATCCTTTTGATTTCCTGAAAATTCTGGAATGCTACTGAAAATAGTGTCAGTGTAATATTCAGTCAATCAGAAACTCTACATATGACTTTTCACTTTCGTGATGTTTCTAGCAAAACTTTTAGTCAAGCGCGAATTGAATGAAATTCTTAATGTTTCCTTAGCTTGTCATATCTATTGCAAGGAGTTTTCAGGATCGCCCAAACACCTTCTCCCTTTCAAGAAATAAGACTTTTTCTTCGGGTCTACTTGCAGCTTGATAACTGGTTTTCCGCAGCGTTCGGACTTTCTTGGTATCCAGCGTTTGTAAGTGTCTGTTGGGGTTCCTGTCGCTGGAGCATCTGTAATGATCTCTAGCGAAAGCTTCACTCGACTACCGACGGTGTCTAGAATCATTTTTTCCCTGTGTATTTGATTAATGTGCCTAATCCACGTTCCGAAAGTATTACGCATTTTGTGTAGGACATTCCCCATTCTCTTGTCAACGACTCCGGGTTCCCAACGATTTTTTCCAATGTATGACTTGATGAGCACTTTATCATTGACGTTAAAACTCCGGACATTCTTATTTTGTCTGCGTTCAACCATTTGTCTTGGTGGCAACATGGCGTCGAATATAGTTCTAATGCTTCTCCGAAACAGAGGATTTTCCATCTGGGACGATGTGGTTAGGCGTAGTTCTATAAGCTGTTAAGAATTTCGTAAACACCTGACTTGTCACTTCGCCATCCCCTTTCAGTAGTGTGCTTTTGAATGCGTCTACGAAGCGCTCAGCTTATCCATTTGATTGAGGGTGATAGTGTGAATACCGTATATGTACAATTTCATTAATGTTTTGGAAGTGCTTGGATGATTCTGCAGTGAATTGTGATACATTATCGGGCACTAAAGTCTCCGGAACCCCAAAGCAATTAAACACTCCAGATAAATTGCTGATCGTTTCACTGGCTGTACACTTTGCCATGGCATAGTATTGAGACCGTTTTGTGAGTGCGTCCACTATGGCGAGAAACATTCTTCCTCGTATTGGACCGGCAAAATCTGCGTGGAGCCTCTCCCAGAGACTATAAGGTTTTTCCCATTGTTGGTGTTCACACTTCTTTTGACTTTTAACTGCTTGCAGGCACGACGAACAATTGCGGCATCTGGTTTCGAAATCTTGGTCCATTGTAGGCCAGTAAGCATAGCCTGGAGCCAACGCTTTCATCTTATTGATGCCGGAATGACCGCTGTGGAATTGTTTCAGAACCCTGTGGCGTAAAGTTTTTGAAATGACAATTCTTTCACCAAACATAATACATGAATCGACCATCATGAGTGAGTTTTGCCGACGGAAAGATTGTAACATCTCTCCTTGAAAACGACGGTTCGTCCACTTGATGATCGGATAACCACTAACTTCTCCTAATGTCTTTTCATTTTCCGTGGCTTCTTTGATGGCTTTGAAATTAACTGGTAAACCATCGACTGAGTCTTTCAATACTCGATGTACTTCTGCTTCCGTCTCGATTGCTACCACCAAGGTATCTTCTTGTTTTACCCATGAATCAATCAGTCTAGACAAAGAGTCTGCTTCTCCAAAATCAGTAGTACGCTGGTATTTGATCTTAAAGTCATAACCGAAGATTGTAGTTCCCCACCCTTTCAGTCTGTTTGCTGTGTATACCGGGATACCTGTCTTCGACCCGAAAATGGCTGACAATGGTTTATGGTCAGTTAGTAGAGTGAACTGGCGTCCAAATATCATCTTGTGAAACTTTTTTACAGTAAAGATAATCGACAATGCTTCGTTCTTCATCTGACGGTAGCTACGTTCTGCTGTAGTTAATGATCTAACTGCATGCGATATGGTTTTCTCAGGTTCGTCTGGCATGATATGAGAAGTAACTGCTCCAATGCAGTGGTTTGAAGTATCTGATGCTACTACATTGGGTAAGGATGGGTCATAATGGGGGAGCAACAAATCTGAGACTAGTATTTTCTTGATTTCCTCGAAAGTGACTTGACAATTTACAGACCGATCCCGTTGTATATTCTCCAGAAGGTAATTTAATGGGGCATGCAGGTGGTGAAGGTTAGGAATAAAATCGCCATAACGACTAACTAGTTCCAAAAAGGATCGTAGTGTTGGGACGTCCGTTGGTCTATGCATATTTTTCACTGTCTGAGTATTCTCTGGATCTGGTCTTCTGCCATCTTTGTTTATTTTAAGTTCGAGGTAGCTTACCTGTTGCATAAGTTACATTTCTCCGCACGGAGTCGAAGTCCATATTTGGCTATTCGCGACAGCACCTGATCGAGCTTCTTTTCTAAGTCTATTCTATCCACTCCCACAGTTATTATGTCATCCAGATGAGCTGCAGCACATGGAACATCCTGTAACATAGTGTCTATCACTTTCTGAAATATGGATGGGGCCGTCTTGACCACGAAGGGTAGTCGATTATACCGGAATAGGTCCTTGTGTGTGTGTGTTTATGGTGAGTAGATTTTTACACTCATCAGTAACAGGAATTTGTAAATAAGCTTCCGATAAATCCAACTATGAATAGGGCTTACCACTATTCAGTTTGGCAAAAAGATCTTCGGGTAGATGTAGTGGATACTGATGAGTTTCTAGGTCTTCGTTTAGCCCGGTTGAGTAATCGGCACATAAACGGATGCTATCATTAGTCTTCTTTATCACCACTATAGTTGCAGCCCACTCTGAGAAATTCAGCGGCTCAAAGATACTTATGAAGTCGTTCTCTTGTTCAACGGCTGGTAGGGAAGCATATGGTACAGGTCGCTTGAATCGAAAGACCGGCTTTGATCCCTGTCGAAGGATAAGAACAGGTTTAAATTTGGTATATTCTCCAAGACCATCAGTGAATACCATTTTATGTCGTTTGAATAATAATGCTTCCACTGAGTTTTTCTTTTCAACTTTCGACAAACTGACGTTGTTACAGGTCGAGTTTATGGGACGGCCTGTTAATTTCAACCTTTCTATTCAATCAAGCCTCCGTAAATCAAGTGATTGAAGTTCTGTCAAAAATATTACTCTTTTCTCCGTAAACTCTTTGACTGTGCCTTCACAATGAATACCACTAGCAATGTTGAGAAATCTCACGGATGCACTATGTACTGATTAATGAGTTGAATATATTCTCGGTCTCCTAATTTTCTCTCACGCTCTCCTACTTATAAGTTTCATATCGAAGGCTGCGTCCAGCTGTAAGCGGGCATCATACCCATTAATCTTGAGGGAAACATACTTTTTACGATTATGCGAGAATGTTCCGTTAACAGCTACCGTCACTTCGGCTGTATGTGGCTTGAATCTTTTAGAATAGACTTTAGATTGACGGCGTTTCCGGGATTTGCAAAGAATTTCTTTGCGTCCTTTTCTGGAGGAAGTAGTAAAACGATTGTTTTTAATTAGACAAAACCTTTTAAAATGCCTACTACCACATAACCAGCATGAGGATGATGGTTTGAAACTGGGGGTTTGTAGAGTAAGGCTTCGGATTCGTATTTAGCACTGTTGACCAAGCTTCTGATCCCGGGGATGTTCCTTGTTTTGAATGTTTCTTGTTTTTGAATGGTTCGGAGATTACTTTGAAAGCGCCTCAATACCAAACAATGATTTTTAATCTACGGTCGAATACAGCGATTTCTTTACGTCAAGCCATTTAGAATTGTAATACAGATTACAGATAACAAATAAACCGATCCTTGAATGCGTGGTTTTCTTACGTTATTCTTCTTCGGTGTGTAATTGACACCCAATTTCTTATTTTCAACACTACTGAAAGCTTTAACGCGAATTTCGATGTAGGTAACACCAGTTTTTAATCATTACATCAACAGTTTTGCTGTAGAATGCACAATGCTAACAACAATACTTGGTAAACTTGAACTGATTGATCATAACAACGCATATTTGGAATACTATCAAGTTGTAGGGTCACTGAATATCGAACAGATCACTGATCCCTGTCAAGGTCAAGGATAGTCAACGCGCACAAACCAATCGTACGCCATGGACTGGCCCACGCTGCAGTGGTTATCCTTTCACTTCTGTACTTCCATAGTTGTACCTTAACTAATAGATTCTTGTAATAACGTCCTTTGTGTTGTATAGTCTCCATAGCATCCATGGTCCTTTGATGCGTCGATGGTTCAATCCACGCAAGGGCTGGTCGCGAGGTGTGACTTCAGCGTTAGTTGGTTCGTCCCCATTCTCGTCTAACTATAGTAGGCCCCCAATCATTTTGACATAGATCATCAACGTAGATGGTCTACAAAGTCATATTCTATAGGCTCTCCGTTTGTAATTTAGTCGGTGAGTCCATTCGTAGTTTTAAAAAGATGATATGGCTATAAAATACTTGCCTCGCAGACACAATAATCCTAATTTATTTTTTCAAATGAACACCTCATAGGCGAATACTAGTCGAATCGACAGTTTAAAACAAAAATCCATCGTCAAAATGTCAATTTCCAAAACGAATAAGGCTGCTTATCATGAGTTCAATGCGTTGAGATTGTATGCAATAAAAGTACCTATTTGTAACAGTGATTTGTCTTAAGGTTACACTAGTATCCGTTCAGTAGGCAACTAGTAGACATTCTCGTGATTAATCATATTTCATTGTTAATTGCCTCAGAGCAATGACTCAGCTAAACATCTAACAATAGCCACATGTAACCGTGATTGACAGTGTCTTTTGATTATTTTGATGCCTGATGACTGCATAAATTTTATTAACGTCACTTTCTTACTCTCCAAGATGGAGCTAAACTACCAAATATAATGGTATTATGATGTATTTCTGCTAGGGCAAGTGCACGCCATTTTTACAGACATGATCTTCTATTTAGAACATTGGTTTGCATACAAATTTCTTCCTAAGTAGGTTTTCTAAATGAATGGAATCACTAATAATAAGGGGTAGTACATTCGAGCAGTTATCCCAGAGAGTTAATGATTATGTTTATGATTAAGTATTGGTCTGTGAGTGCAGTTATTATAATGTTTCAAAAATGGCATCAAGTTTACGTTGAATACCAAATCTTTGATCTCAGGGAACCTCAACTTAGCAGCAAAAGTTAGGTCTTACTATCAGAAAGGGTCGTAGTTACAAATAATGAAAATGTAATTCGACCAGTGCGTGTAACCAGTGAACTTGGGAACACTGATTCCTCCTGATGACAACGAACGATAAAACAGTTGAACAAACTTTACATTCAGAAGGTAGCATGAAAATACCAATGGTAAAAAATTACTGGCGAAAATCAAAGCAATGAAAATCTCACCAATAAAGTATAATGTTACACAATCGATAATAATGCGAATCAATATGCAAGTACATACTTCTGATTCTTGCCAGTCCAACACTTTCCTCTACGTAAATTCATTCACTCATAATTAGAACATTGTTAAACGTCTGATAAATTCACTGTTACTGGTTCAGTTGAGAGGCTGATTGTAATCACTCGATTTTACCAACGACCAAAAGCAGAACTGTGATCCAAGAACACGGTACAAGGAGTCACCTGATGTACATAAGCTCGTTACAAAGGTATCTCACTCCAATTTTCACGGAAAACGATATGACAGATATGAGCATTTACAGATCAGAAACATCTCATCCAAAATTGTCGAAAACACTAGAAGTGATAAACGGGGAAGTTCACACATGAGAACATACTCTTCCGTGAGTTGAAGTTAGGGTTTAGAAAAGACAAACACTGGTTTACAACTGCTGTGTTTAGGTAATATAACTAGACAGCAATCCAACATCACGCACCAATTCCTGATCATGCTAGAGGTTTCAACACCACGGCAGGCCGTCTGTTATACCAGAATTCCTAGACTCTGGGACCACTGGGATAAGAATACTTGCTAAATTCGTAACGCTGAACAAAACAACACTGAGTAGATTACATAAATATATAAGAGTTAACTGGTTATAATTCAAAACTAACATAAAATAGTTCTGTAGCGTATAAATGGGAATAGATCGGTGACAAACCATCAATATTATGGTCTTCAGTAGTCCGGGACCAAATAGACAGCAAAAGCACGAGAATGAATCGAAAAACCAAGGTCAAAATTATAAGCAAGTTAAGTTCCGAGCTTGAGAGCACTAAACATATATTTGATATCAGTTGAAAGGCTTAACATTTACAATAACAACTTATGCCAATCTAAATAATTCAAGTTTCTTCAGTAACACCTACCTACTACTGACGATGTTAAGAGCGGGTCTCACCGAGTAATTTCTCACCTTGCCAAAAAAGTAGACTTGGAGGCTTCAACAAATTGCGCCGAAAATGGATAGCTTCATCATTTTCAGTTTCATACAAATCCAGCTCAGATCATCGACCATCAACTATATCTATGGTCGTCCTCCTCAAAAATCTCCTTTGAACAGACTTTGTTCGAGACAATGAAATACAAATTTTGATAACCATCAAGTAAAAGAATTATCACTAGAATCTCTCGGAAAGATGTCGTGCTGCCAAAATATAAATATCGGTACACAATCAAACTACCAGGAATGCCTAACCACTTTCTTCGCACTAACGATCACAACAAACGATGTACTTTTTGTGGTAGTCATCTCATGATCGCCTAAATATAACGTCGCTTTAGTCTTTTTATGGCAGTTGCTCGAGAAAAGCTATCCAAAAGACAGTTCAAGAATATCTAATTCACTTAGATTGAAGACAGCTATTCTGATGCCCGGATACCTGAGACACCTATGCTTTTCTTGAGACCTTTAGGCTTGTGGCAACTCTTATCCTGAGAAGAGTTTTGAAGTCGTAGGAATGAAGACAAAACGGTCTTACATGAAAATCGTCACAGAAACCCACGACAACCTCCAAAATATTCTTCAGTAAACAAACCTTCTTATGAACTCCCACCTTTTTGTAAACAAAAAAATGTATTTTGATCATTTCTTCAGTAGATGTCTTTTTCCGAATGCATGTAAATTATTGAGTTTGAATCCGTTGTTAATCTTATTTTCTAAAATCCCATGTGTTCAACAGCGGCATATAGAATGGCAGCGCCAAATAACGAGACGAAGGGAGAAAAAGGTCTCGGTGGTTTTTCGTAGTGATAAGTGTACTCGAATGATCTTCACAATTTTAAAATAGAGGAGAAAATTTTATATGTTGTTTTTTGCCATTTAAGTGTCAACGCAACTTACCTAATGGAACGAACTGTAAACACAAGTTGACGCGACTAGCCTCAACGTTGTTAATGTATTTGTGCCTAGTGTTTCAACTTTTACGGTTAAGAGGTTAATGGATCAGGTTATCGGGTTTAGCCAATTTCAGCTTCAGTTTTTATGTGCCTCTAGGCACGCCTAATTAGTAATCCTATTCTATATATTAGGCTGAGTTGTCACTGAGTTAACAAAGCTGAACTTCACTAGAATAGAATGCAGAAATAAACTCATAACCTTAATTCAGTCACACACAAAATTTTGGCGTTTCTACTGTGGTCAAAGTCCCACTAGCTTTATGTGGCATAGTATTGCCACTCTGTACAGGTTTCTCAAAGTTATGTTTAAGAGTTTGCTTTCCTTGTGACACGATGTTTCCAAAATGAATATCAAGTGTATTCCGTTGTTCTTCTGGACTAGTGGTCAATCTGGTGTCGGTTCTTCGGCAGACTGCCGAAAATCTGTCTATTAGTCTTAAGTGATTTGGTTCAAATAAATTTACGAGAATGACTTTAAGTCCTGAGGTTTTCTGTGCTTTGAGCATCTTATCATCTGATCAGATAAGCGCTTTTGACATACCATCAAATGTGTTTGGTGTATTGGTTTAAACAAAATATTAAGTGGAGTATTGTATAAACATACTTTCTCATCAAGCACTCCTTTGATATCCATTTGGTGTTAGTACATTTTATCCACTTCTTTCGCATCCAATTATTAGTCGTTAACTCCAAAGACTGGCATTCCTTGAAGTATGGCTGTAGAGTTTTGTCACATTTTATAACAAAACATAGTGTTGTTTATTTTCATAAACTCGTGTGGTGTTTTGTTTGTACTCTCTCCTCAACTTAATTGACCCTGATCAACCCTGGAACAGTAGTATGCCAATTAACTTAGCATTTATCTCTCAGGAGACCACCTTGTTCAACCTCTTCATCATGAATAACTGCTGAGGAATAGAGTATTAGGAGTGTAGCTGAACCATTTTTGTCTTTTGCCTGGTCTACAAAAATCGCCCCGGGTTCCTCAATAGTCACTAGTGGCTAGATTTTAAATCCTATTTCTGAAGAGTTGAGACGGTTAGCGAGCTTCAGTAGGATCAATGTGGCGCATCAGAAGCAAGTAAGCAGTGGTGTAAAAACAAAATAATCATAATTAATCTCTCGGTAATAACATAGGGAATGACTATATACATCAATACTCCATGTAAACATTAGTGAGCAGTAAGTTTCTCGCGATACCTTCCAATGAGTCCTTGTTTATGACTTAGTCCCTCGTTTACTTATCTAATTATACATTGTTTTATTGTCGACGTAAAGCTCCTAGTTTTTCACTTATTTAAACCTCTTTACCCATGTAATGGCATCTAGTCTTAATGATTATCTTCAGCAGTGTATATTTGCAGTACTATAATGTTTACTTCTGACCCCAACTTAATCGAAATCATAATCATATAAAACCGTATAAATATTTATTCACTTCGTATGTCTATTGGTATAAAGAAACTAAAAATTTTTTGTCGTGATGTATAAAACATACATGGTGTTCATCACGTTTTTTTAAATATGTCTCCATCTCTTTTTATGTGAACCCATACCTTTCTGTTCTAAACAAAACAAGTCTACATTAAAACATAAGTGTGCTTAGTGTAAGTAAAATGGGTTCACAAATTCTTTTGTTAGATTATGGGATGAAATAATTAAGTAAACTAAGTTTCGAAAATGTAATCAAAACTGTAGATTCTGAGCGTATATTCTGTTGGTAATTTTCGTGGTTTTATTGTTACCCTGAAGAAGTACAGAAAAGTTAGCTGGGCAAAACGTTGGAATTATTTAAATTTCAATCGCTGAGATTATTTCAAATATAATTTTCACATATAATGACTTTTTGTGTTATTGTTTGGACTTACAGTTTGTGTTCCACGAAATTTTTATCTTCTTGATGAACTTGAACAAGGACAAAAGGGGTCTCAGGAAGGTAGTATCAGTTGGGGATTAGAAAATATGGCTGATGCAACACTCACCAAATGGAACGGGATGATTCTAGGTCCTACTCGAACTCCTTTTGAAAATCGTATTTATGATTTGCGGATCGAATGTGGACCAAAGTATCCAGATATCCCTCCAACGGTTAGGTAAGCTGACATTCGTTGATTGCCATTATGGTAATATTTTTATAACTATGCATCAGCTTTTATTGCTGCTCTAAAATACACATATACGCTTGTTGGGCGTAATTCAAATTAAGTTTATGCTCATGTAGTACATTATGCTGTTTTTCTTCTACCAAACAAATTGAATTATGGACAGAAAATACACTGTCATTTTATTTCCATTTAGGTTCGTCACTAAAATACGTATGCATGGAGTAAATGAGAACACTGGTGAAGTAAGTTTATACACATTTCCATCAAGTTTGGTTTTCGTTTCAAGTAAAAAATATCTACTGTGTTGAAGCATATTCCTAGTCGAATGTAATAGCTCTTTGAAAGCCTATTGTCTCGCACCCATATCTTCGTTATTAATTCAGCTATTAATAATATATTTTTGTCCTCAGAATACTGGTTTTAATACGACAGAACTTTGGCTTGATGTACATTCGTACCAGGTTTTACGTTACGACTGGCTGACTGAACATTGGCTTTTGTTAACTTCGTAGTCAAACCCTACAAAACTACCACACAACGTTATCAGTCAATATTGCCAACAAGTTTGTATCACCGAAATTCTCTATAGTATTTTGTCTGTCATCATAAATGGTTGTTTTACGAAATTCGTAGATTAAAATAATCATGATTTAAAAACATGTTTTAGTATTTAGTAATTTCTTATTTCTCTAATCCCTGACTGTGACAATATGTGAGCTGTAAAAAGTTATCTCATCTGTTCATAATAACTAATGCCTTTAGTTTCTGTACTTCCGCATTTTAAGAGATAATGGAGATATTACGACACGTAGTATTGCTACGAAAATAACCAATCACAGTCATGAAGACAAGTTTACCTAAGACTTGTGTAATAACCAAGAAGCCCATTGCTACATAAAGTAAGCATTAATGATGTTGTCCAGAGCGACAATGAAAACTTTGCTAGTAAGTCACTTAGCTCAGAGAATTCAGCAGCACAAAAATTACTCCATTTTCTTACCAATAAAAGACCTAAGATGTATAAGCATTAAATTTATGATCTTTGTCTCATTAGTCGTTAATGCTTATTAATTCTTATATTGCTGTCAAAGATTATACTAACTTGAACATAGCTAGGGATTGGAAATAATATATTAAAAAGTTATTGATACTAGTTAATTCACATTTCATCTTAAAATTAGTGTGTATAATGTGTTATTAAGGAGGAGAGGTTTGGATTCGTTGCGAGCGCTTTTATTTCAAATTAACGAATGAGATATTAGTAGATAAAAGATATATAATTTTGCAGTGTTGTCGGGTGATATCAACTAACTAAAATGAATTGTTGAAACGGACCTTCGAATAAGCTAATAATTCTGCATAAAATAACAGCAGCTAATAAGGTTTTTTCTGTTAAAGCAGCCCAATTACAAATTACGAACACAAAAGTAGTTGAAAAACTCAATAGTTTTGGTTCGTGTTAGTAAATAATGAAAAGATTGCATAAATAAAGAATATCCGTTTGGATTTTACCAAACTTCACGACTATTGGTCTATAACTAGTATGTCTGGCTGTCCATTGAAAGTCTTTTAAAGTTGGTCTTGCTACTTTGCAGCTACGGAACATTAAAGTTCAGAAAAAGTCTTATTCTGTATCAAGCGTCTTTGCAATATAACTGGTATGTGTTTGACCCACTAAGTGACTAATCCTAATATATGGTTTAAAGTGCCATGTAAAGATGTTAAATTTGTTGATAAGTTCATAAATCTTCGTTGGCTGAAGTAATGTAGGCTTGTGTTAAACATACACAGTTATCACATATTTCAGTGTACTGTGCTAACTGTCGTAGAAGTAGTTTTACGAAAAAACTGAAGTCAGAACAAGATGCTACATCAGTCAATAATATCATTGACTATTAGTGTTAGTCACATGAAGAAAAAGTCAGGAAGTCGTAATAGTCCTGAAGCACATTATTTATCTCCCTTTAATGCCTTAGAATCGTAATGCTCTCTACTTTATATTTCCCGGCTAAGTTTTAACGTCCACATAGATTTTTTCAAAGTCAAGCAAGTGGGCTGAGTTATTGCGATCCCTCTACGTCAAAGATTGACCTTTAAATCGCAAAAATGCTTGTGGACCACAGTGTCAGTCTACAATTACTAACCATGTGGCAAGTTCTTGTTGATGTCTGGAAAAGCGAATGTGCAACTCAATAATCCATTATATTGTTGGTTAATCCAGTTGAAAATATTGACATTGTTAATTGTATTCACGCATTCAGTCATTGCTTAATTTGTATCAATTCCGGCCTAATTTCTCTCATTCAAATTTACTTGTTGAGCAGATAAGTAAACCACATTTATTTTAATTCAATTTCGACATAATTCCTGAATCTGTGGTTGCCCTGGTACGGCCGAGAGCGGTGAGGAGCCGCTTTCCCTCTTGAAAGGCTCTCACACGGCCACGCGTATACAGCCTCTGTCAGGAAAGTCCTACTCACTACCTTCTCCTGGTAGGGGTGTTGTTTACGAAATTAAGAGGACGCAAAGCGAATGTCCGGCACTTTAACCGGGCCGATGGACACGGCGAGCCCACCTAGGGGAGTTGGAAAACCCTGATTCCGAACCAATGGTGCACATGGGTTCCAGTATCCTGAGGGAACAAATGGCGTATGAACCAATTGTTGGTCACCGGGTACCATGGGACTGCATCTCCTTACGATGCCCCACTGCCTTGTGGATTAGACCTTTAGGTCTAAGATTCGAACTGTGGTCCCCTAAGAAAACTACCTGCTTCGGTCTGGTTAGCCGGGAAGTATCACAGCCCACACTTAAATAAATGAAATGATATCTACTGAAAATACTACTCACGCCCCTATTATAAGTCAGATAATTCACATTATTATTATTTACCACTCCCTTTTATTCCCAATTTGTGTATCCTTACTTTTCAACTTATGCAGCAGCTCGCCCATGCTAGAAACTGTTCTATCTAAACGATCTCCAGTCACTGTCTGGTCGAAAGTGAATGCTTCCACCGATTACGAATACTGAACCAGTCTTTCTGAAAACACGTACACCGTTCAGGCTGGCCTCCTTCAACGTTCGCACACTAATGCAGATCGAACAACAGATAGGGCTGGCTATATCATTAGAAAGTCTTAATATCGACGTTTGTTGTCTATCCGAGACCCGTATTCAAGATTCTAGTAAATTACTACAAATCCGCTCTCCATCTGTCGCTTCGAAAAGCTTGTTTCACGTGCGTTTATCCGGAGACCCTGTAGCATCTTCGTCTGGTCTTGTTGGCGTTGGTGTCGCACTAAGCGCTAGAGCTGAGGCAGCACTAATCGATTGGATCTCCTATAACAGTCGGTTATGTGCTGTTAGATTAGAAAGCTCAATCAAAGTGAGAAGAAATCGGCGTGAGAAACTGTGTCTTTTTGTTATCTCCTCCTACATTCTGACAGATTGCAGCCTGGATGCAATCAAGGATGAATTCTATCACCAGTTAACTGTTCTCCAGAAAGTGCGTTCAACGGATATTGTAGTACTAGCCGGAGACTTGAATGCACAGGTCGGGCGTCTAGGCACAGAAGAGAGTCGTTTAGGTAGCCGATGGAGACTTGTTGGTCGCAGGACAGATAATGAGGACCGTCTACTGCAACTGTGCACGGACTACAACTTGTTTCTGGCTGACACTAACTTCCGGCACACTCATTGTCGATGTGCCACCTGGCGCCCTCTATCTGCATCTCAAACCTGTGCTCAGATTGATCACATCGCGATTAGCTACCGCTGGTGTGGTTATGTACAAGACTACCGCTCCTTTTGGAGTACCTATCTGGAATCTGATCATGCCCTGGTCTGCGCCAATCTTACCTTACTTTTCAGTGGCCAACGGATTGATGTCAGTAAATTGGTTGCAACTTCTGTTGCAAGTAAGTATCGAACCGAGCTAGCTACCGTCTCACCGGAAAGTATAGATGAGCAATGGTTGCAACTGCATGACACCATGAAAATGGCGAGTAAAGTCGCTTGCGGCCTCACGAGACGTCCCGCTTATAAGCACTGGGTTTATTCTGGCTTCTTACAACTGATCGAAGTCCGTCGGTCTACTCTGGGTGACCGTGGGTTTGACCACAAACGACGACTGTTACGCAATTAAATTGGGGAAAGCTTGTGTAAGCAACGAGAAGCCTGGTGGTCGAAGCGTGCTAATGAGCTTGAAGCAGCGACTGCATCTGGTAACTGCCGGAAACTCTCCCAACTCATCTGAGCCACTGGTAGCAAGAAGTCTGCTGTGAGCGAAACAATCTGTGAGGATGACGTGATGCCAATCACTAACATCTGTCGACATCTTGGACGATGGGCAGAGTTCTTTGAAGGGCAGTTTAACTGGCCTACTGCTCCGGCAACATCGATCAGGTTGTCCCGTCTTCCATGGCCGGTGACGACTGCTCCACCAAATGAGGCGGAAGTCCTCAAGGAACTCCAACTCTTGAAACGCTACAAACCACCGAGCCCAGATGACTTACCTCCGGCTCTTTTTAAAGATGGTGGTGACTTTCTGATTAAGGAACTGACTAAGTTGCTTACAAAGGTCTGGGAGCTAGAGAGTGTTCCAATGTCATGGAATAAGTCGATAGTTGTCTCTATCTTTAAAAAGAGTTCACGTCGTTCCTGTAACAACTATCGGGGATAAGTCTACTTCCAATTGCGTCCAAACTATTGACTTCTGTCATACTTTGTAGGTTGTTTAAAACCCGGGAAAGATTGACTCTTGAGGAGTAGGCTGGTTTACGTTCTGGTCGAAGATGCATTGACCATATCTTCACCCTCCGCCAAATGTTAGAACAACATCATCCCTATCACAGGCCAACAATCGTAGTGTTTCTTGATATCAGGGCTGCCTTCAATTCGTTGGACAGCGCTGTCCTCTGGGATTGTCTATTGAAGAAGGAAGTGCCTGAGAAGTTTATTAGCATCTTAAAGGCCTTGTTTACAAACGCCTGAGGCAGAATGAGGGCATACAATCACTTTTCTCCATTGTTCCATTCAAGCAGTGGGTTAGTCAGGGTTGCCCAAACTTACCATTCCTCTTCAACTTTGCCATCGACGACATCCTGGAAACAGCTCTGATGGACGTAAATAATGGCGGTGTGGATCTGTTGTCTGGAGAAAGGCTTTCCGACCTTGAATATGCGGATGATATTGTCTTACTATGCGATAATGCCCAAGGCATGCAATCCGCACTTAATCAGTTGGCAATCAGTGTCCGCGGGTACGGTATGTGCTTTGCACCTTCAAAGTGCAAAGTACTTCTATATGACTGGCAGAATTCTAATCCTGCACTCACCCTGGATGGTGAGCAGATTGAAGTAGTTCAGAGATTCGTGTATCTAGGTAGCTGCATAAGTTCTGGTGGTGGCGTGAGTGATTAAATGAATTCACGTATAATGGAAGCCAGAGCGGCTTATGCCAATCTGGGCCGTCTTTGGCGCCTTCGTGATGTTAGTCTGACTGTAAAAGGTCGGATCTACCACGCGTCGTGAGAGCAGTTTTGCTCTATGCTTGTAAAAGCTGGCCTCTTCGAGTTGATGATGTTAGACAACTCTCTGTATTTGATCATCCTTGTCCCTTAAGGATTACTGACATCCAATTGCAACACCATTCTAGTAATGCAGAAGTTCGGCATCGTGTGTTCGGACGCAGAGACGATAATCCAATTGGTGTCACCATCTTAAAACATCGACTTCGATGGCTTGGACATGTTCTACGAATGTCGTCCCAGAGAATTCCTCGTCGTGCATTATATGCCGACGCTGGGACTGGTTGGAAAAAGCGGAGAGGTGGTCAGTGTATGAAATGGTGTCGTGGTATAAAAGAAAGCTACAAAGGTCTGGCTTCTGTTGGTCTTTCCCGACTCGCTATCTGGGGTCCGAGAGATGATGCAACACAGTGGCTAGAGACGTCATCCGATATGGCTCAGAATAGAAGCCATTGGCGAGCCTGCTGTAACCTTCTTTTACTTTCTTCATAAGAAGTGGTTATAACTTGCTTAACTGAAAGAGTTCTTCTGGTTGTACATTTCTGTTTCCCCCATTATTATTCTTATTATTACAGTAACATACACTAATCTGTGGTTGTTATCGTTCTTTTTTTCTTACATGCACCTTACCTCTTTTCCTCTTCTCATTCTAATTGTTTTGTGCGGCGCATACATATCTGATGCCCCCTTGTATCAACATTTATGTGATTAAATAAATAATGAGTATATTGTTGATAGGTGAATAAATCTTTGTTTACGGTTTTACCCTCTACCGTACATTGAGCCTTTATACATTAGAAAGTAGTTTTTCCGCGCTCCACACGTCATAATAAGTAGACATACCAGTATTTTGCCGAGTTACATTTAACGTATTACAGTCAGAGCAAACTTTGGCTTTAACGTGGTAAGTCTTATCTTAGCAATTTTTTCCTGTTTGGTCGTTACTAAAAATCATCCCACATACAACTTGTTAAATTGTGTACAGCCCATATAGTTTTAACAAATATGCGGTCTATGGATATGTTGGATAGACACAAAATCGAAAACACACAACAACTAGCTTCATATGTGATAGTTGTCTTTTAATTATAAGTCTAATAAAACCGTAATATACTTCTATATTTGTATCCATTTTTTAGGTTGACCCTCGAGTGTTCGCTACTCTGGCTAACTGGACTCGTGGATATTGCATACGTCATGTGCTACTGGATGTCCGCAAGAAAATGTCTGCATCTGAAAATTCAAGACTTGCTCAGCCACCAGAAAATTCCACTTTCTGATTCATTTTCATCCGTTTGTTTGCCAGATTTGCTAATGATAGACAAGTGGATGATATTTCTAAATTTATAACTTTCCTTCTTAGATCCTCATTTTGGTACACTGAAACTGTCCTAAATTCTCTCTATCGAGACCCCTGTGTTGGTTTTTCCCTCAGCGGTCTTTATGTATCTATACTTGTCTGGCTTTTAAATACTAAATCTGTTGTGAAGTTTAATCTGTATTGTTGGATAACTACGGTTGCAATATTTTTATACAAGTAGACAGTTTGTTTTTGTCGCGTCCCGAATTAATCATAAACTTAGTCAAGGCATTCAATGTATTTATGCAATGCATATGAAAGTTATACTTTTCTCTTATATGGTGAAAATCTTGTTTTCAGTTATTGCTTTTTGCAGCTATCCACCAACTTAAGATGGATCATCTACGGATTGTGCGATTTTCTGGTTTTCCATCTAGACATTAATAGTTTTGTATTCACAAGGCCAGCTGTTTGATTTACGTCTTTTTGTTGTTTTGATTTTTTTTTATGATAAGCAACAAGATAACGTTTTTTGACCTATATATGTCTCACTAATTGCTTAACTAAATCCATTTCTCTGTACAAAACAACTAGTCAGGTTTTGCAGCTTCATGAAGCTAGTTGTGGATGTTTTTTTATCTTTTATATATATAACAACTGAAAGTCTAGCTCGCTCGTCAAGTGGAAGTTATAAGTTTTCCCAGTTCCCGAAATTTCGA